CGTCCAGTCATCGAGGCGATCTGTCGCTGTTTTGATTCACCTAAAATTGTAGTGGAAAACAAACCGATAATTGACCTGCCCGACGGCACTTGCTTTTGCGAAAGCTGTGGATATTTCCAGAAAGAAGTTACGTTCGAAGTTTCCCATCTCGGACACGTGGCTTCATTCTACTTGGAGTTCGATGACTCCAGGCAGAGTCCCTTAGCCAGCTTTCCGAAGCCTATTGCGTGGTTTATCGCAAGGCAGCTGAGACATGGCAAGTTATTCCAGTGGAAACCGGGATCTCCATGCTGTGCAAGACGGCCAAAAAGGGAGAGGGCAAGTTCGGCCAGAGGTAAAGCTAAGCGGCGAAAGCCTACATGATGGTTTAGTTGAATAGAGATTCTATCTCTAAGTTCACGAGACTATCGTAACCTACGACTAGATCTAGAGGTCTATCCGTTTGGTTTCGAAGTAGTAGAGATTCTTAGAAACAGCGATTCTTCTACTATAGGATATGGATACGATTATTAGTAATTAGTGAAGGTATGATTAGGTTTATAAGTGACAATGTTACCGGGATCGTGCTAAAATCGTAGTAAGTGCGGATATAATGTACTTACGTAAACACTAGCGATGAATGTTCAGCTGAAGTCGTTTATTAACCTACTCAGCGGCTACGGTGCCAGCCATTCTCCAAAATCCCTAGCTCTCGATCCTGAAACATCCCATGTCCCCGAAAGGACACAGCCCTAAAGTCATTGTACAATCTGAAGGGTGTGGTTGATCCTCATGATCATGGAGTCGACACGAACCCGCTTCACGAAGATAATTCTTTCTATGCCAACGGGATTGTGCCTTAAATATATCTAACGAAATCCCAGGCCCCTTAGATGCCATAAGCCGCTATTTAGCCATCTAGTCGTCCGTACGGTTATATAAACCTTCTGTATAGTGCCGTACGATACAGTTGGAAAAGCTAGCTAGCGGACTAGGGGTATTTATATTTCGAAGATACAGTCTGGGGCTGCTATAATCCAGAACAAACTTGCTGGGGAATGCGATCCGACGCTTGCCAACCCAGCGCACGAATTTTATATTTCTTAGCAAGCTCTGCTGGCGCATTCACCTCCTTAAAGCAAGCATCGTACCGAATATACGGATTCGTGGCCTCATCGTGGGTAGCAATTTGAGAAGAACTGCAGCTGATCAGAGACTTTTGCCACCCAATGATTTGCCCTCATCACTCAATATGTCACGCCTCCTGACAGCATAATGATAGCAAATCACCTTGTCGCCAGTGACCCATCAAGAAGCCGTGCTTCGTTGTATTAGATCACGCCTTATAAAGACGATAAATCAATAACGCACCTGCTGGAGATGACTTGCCGATTCTGTCAATGTTCGACTAAGGAAGTCCACCAGTTGTAAGGAATAGCGCTGAGGATCGGGCTTTCGCTCAGAGTCAGTGCTCTTCGTTACCAACGTCATAGTTATTTTTTCCGACGACCTGAACATCACGATAACCTAAGATTTTATCGTGATAAGTAGTCCTTCGACAACGTTCAGATTCTGCTAAGATAGATTTAAGTCGTCAAGATAGTTCTCGAGACGGGGAACATACCAATTATAACCTTTCTTGCTCGACTAACCCAAATATCTGTCAAGTTTAATTTTCCGTGCGTTAAGTTGTGAGCTGCGAGGAAATTAAGTGCTCGCATCAACTGTTACTCGTTAGCGTACAATGGCAAATAGGTATACAGGAGACTTCCCTGCCCTGCAATAACAGCAACATCGTTCTCGGTAGGAAATCTAGGGTTCCCAAGGATATGCAGAAGAGTAAGATCTATGTAGTCACAGACAATATCCACTGTGGAGTCTGAGATGAATACCTCAAAGGATTGGAGGAAATAAGGCTTTCTGCGAAACTGAGCTAGAAGTCTCAGCTTACGGTAGAGTCTCTCTTTACTCGTTTGTCGGACCAGAACATGATTTCCCAAAGTCTCTTTCCTTTGGGCGACGCTAACCAGCCCGTTAATGCAATCTCATACTTTTGAACGTACATGGTCCACACCGAGAAATTCGATGTCTGAATTGTATTGAGCGACTGGCCCCCCAGGCTAGAGTGAATTTCCAGCGGGAGCCGAGGTGGTTTGAATTTATCCTTTTGAACTTCTTGTCCTCGAGCACTATTCTCCTCTGGATGAGTGCTTCTTCTAGGTCCCATGGACTTCTATGTGGCCAACCTCAGCAGTTGGGAACGGTGGGCTTCAGAGGATAGCAATATGCAAGAAGTAGGTACTGTATTATCAAGTTAAACGAGGAGGATAACGTCAGCGAAGTAAGCTGGCAGCTGTACAAACCGATGTTTTGGTGGTGGTGTGGGCGTCGATAATCGGTGGGTGTAAGATATGTGTCGAGTGTAAGAGGCTGTAAAGTCGCAGGCGTAATCTGTAGTTGTCCACAGGCGGCAAGAGCCAACAGTGGTTTTATGAAGGGGTACGCCTATTACTGGGTATAGTTCAGCTTTGATCTAAAGCTGAAAATTCTTGGTTTGCCTCCTGTCCTCGATCATTGGTCGATCGCTCAGCGCTTCTGTTCAGATCTCGTTCATGGAATTCGAATAAAGTTTCTCGTTTGTGCCGTGGACCCATTCCGTGAAGCAAATCTGGGCAAACTTTCCCAAATCCGTAGCTAAGAGATGCCGGTCCTGTGGGTTTGACGACCGAGAGGTAAATTGATCCGAAGTCAACACGCGCTGCCACGGAGCGACGTGCGCACATGGGCTTAGCCAGAGACATCCTATTATCATTGACCATCTCATACGAGCCTCGGGAATGTGTGGAAACCTCTACCCTGAGCTCTACATCATCTGTTGCTAATCTAGAAATTTGTCCGCACTAATTGGAAATGTCATAATTGAGCCGGAGCACTATAATTGACGGGTAGCATACATCTCCGAACATCCGTCGTCCACTAGGGACAGATCATTGCCATTAACCAATTCTGCCTCGGGCATATCGTATAGAACATCGATATCCCGGCGAAAGGGATCTGAAACAGGGCGCAATTTTTTTTGATTCTCAATTGTGCTACGTCGACTGGATCTACTAATGGACAACGGGGTACAGAGTGCTGCAAATCGATATGATGCAACAATCTCAGAATGTCGGTCGAAGTATTCTCTTGGTCGATTCAGTGTTCGCCTCGACAATATCCGGCTTCCGTACATCCCCCTGGAAAGGCAGCCCAACGTCGAGCACCTTAAGAAAACATTCCAGAACCAGGGTTGTTTGAGAACTGAGCCGCAGAACTTCATCTCTGCCACGATCCAATCTCAGGCATGGCGTGTGGCCAATAATCATCGGCACGGTACCGCCCCTGCCGAAGGAGCTCCTGTTGAACTCCTTTTGGGAATACATGAAGCCAAGGATTGTACCCATGAGAAGTGTAGGATCGAAGCAGCAAAGACCATCTTGCGCGGATTAGACCGTTGGTGGATAGTTCAATTGTCTGTGGCTGGTACGTCAACTAGAGGAACATTGCTCTAGGGGGCATATACTGATCTTGACCCACAAGAGCAGGATGATAGCCTCCTACGGTACACCAGGGCTTCTTACTCTAATGAAGGCCCGCCCTCTGATGCTGCATTATATATCGGCATCCAACAGTGTCGTTACACCGAGGTATCCCAGGCGAAAACAGATGTTGGGCTTATCTCAAACCAATCAAGAGAAAGCATTTGAAGCAATTTCCGAGCCAGCGTGTTGCCATAGCCGTTTCGTTCAATAAATGTCTCTCCTGGCCACCATTATGGCATCCTACGCGGATAGAAGTGTTTCACAAGATTGTGGCTTCAAGGTGTTATGAGGTATGGTCATATTTTGCTGTGAGGTACAGGGTTCTAATCCGTGGTAGGAGGTCATTGCATACATAGACGACATCTGCCTATTCTTCAATACTGTCAGCGAAGGTGGGAAGCTCGAAATCACTGACACTGGCGTTCAGGCATTGCAAGGCAGGTGCCCTTACTTGTAGAGAGCGATCGTCAGTATCTGCAAAAGTCTATGGACGAGGAACAATTTCTCGGCCATCTCGACCACGATTCCAAGGCGCAGTTTTTCTCGGAGACAGCAAAATACCCGAAAACCATTCCCTCATTCTACAAAGATTTCAAATATATCATGCTATGCAGCGAGGTGCTCAAATACATTCTCTCGGCAAGAGAGCTTCCGAAAGGTAGCACACTGAGGACTTGCTTTTATGAGATCTACCAGTTCAGCCGACAATTAGTCACCCAGACCGGGGCGACAGAGTATGTTAGGGCGCCAACGGAGAGCCATCGAGACGCATTTCTATGGGCATATCAGCAGCTATGGCTATGTTCTATGAGATTTTGGCCTTATCTCCTACCTCAAAAGTCTCGTAGAGATAAGAAAATGGAAGACGGCCGCTTCCAGATCAAAATGGACACAGTCATCTACTGGGCACAGATTGCTGAAACGTCTGAAAGTTTGTGGTTTCAATCGGATAGGATCAGACAACTTGCCACAATCGAACGGTCGCTGAACAACGCGGATGGCCAAAGGTAGGATGATTTTGTTGCCGACGACACCGTATCTAGCTTCCGTATTGAGAACCGCTGTGGGATCCCTTTTGGCTGCACCACAGATCTCGATCGGAACAGCCTCTTCATCGATAGACTCCTGGTGCCACATATCCACCCCGCCAAGGATATCACTGCCATTTTTGTCAGACGAGTATTGTTGCAAAGACTGTTTCCCGAGGCCACTGAGCTCTATGCCTCTTGCAGTCGGGCTTACCGGACGGCCGCGTCCCAATTCGCCATGGTGGGTGTTGATCGACGTGGTTGGTATCAGCAATTCCTCCGACCTTACGTACGACAATGTCGCTGCAGCCTATTGGTCTTCCATCGAACTCAACACGGGCATCACTTGGGCGAGCTTACCGACAATTCGTCCTATTGTCGCCAACATATTTCCCACTTGGCTCGGGTCAGCCCCCGGCAGAGTCCCGCAGAGGCAGTCCAGCATACTATAGCCATCAAGGAGCAACGAGGTCGACGCAACTGACGACGAGATCAACCATGAACCAAATGACATTTTGCACTGTGCATGATATGGTGAAGTGTCACTTTTACCTTGATGGGTCAAATAACGATCAGTCAACGAAATACTCAGTAAACGATGATGTATAGTTTGCGAATGAAAAGTGTTTCGTAATGATAGAGATTGCGCAAACAAGCAGGATTGCTGCACCTCAGTGTCTTCTCAACGGCTTGAGCTTCAAGCTATCCATCTTTTTGATTCGTTTGGTTGTTCCAATACCCGTCAGAATTCCATACGGCCGACCGCTCGCAACACCATGGCAGCTCGATCTGATTACCACCTCGGCTCCATCGCCGCGACCTTTTCATCTCTTTCGAGTCGCAATCAGTTGGATCTGTATAATGACTCTGTCTTTCTCTGTCCATCCCGCACTAGACTTTGAGCGTAGGATGCTGGTTTGCATTCTTTTGCTTGTCTTTCTGCACGTAAATTGACAGCAGTTTGGACTGGCCACTTTTCCCCAGCAGAAAATATTGGTTTGCCTAGGTTTGATGCTTTGCAGCAGAGAGCCCAGAATGAGTTGTAGCGTCGTATAGGGGAGTCGACGTCTTTTATCGGCATCGAAGTCGCAAGGTATCTGAGACGACAAGCAAGACTGACGAGGTCCGGGGACACCAGAGCACTATCCCTTGGTACTTGGCGCTGGTAGGGGAGCATTGTTCGCATGCTCGAGCGCGTTGTGCAGCGTGAGGGAATGATCACCAGGACCACCCTGAGCAGGGGAGTTCTTGCCAGGGTCGCCATCCTTGATGTTTCCGAATCACGGAATGGTTGAAGTTGCACCCTTTCAATGTGAGGAAATCACGTGAAAGCAAGCAGCAGGGATAATGCTAAGGGGGGCCGAATAAAAATTTTCAGACTAGGTAGGTAGTGCGAATGTGTAAATTGCTAGCTCAAGACAAGGCTATGTCGTCAATATGCGCGGCTGCTAACAAACCACTATAGTTCGCGTCCTCCGTAGAACGGCAGATCAGGGACCTTTTCGTCCCTACTGCTATCGTTGTTCCTCGGCCCCAGGACTGCTCAAGCTTCCCAATATTTCACTAATACGTGATCGAACCTCCTCAAGCGAGGCCCCGCTGCGAATATACTGGAACAAATCGTCTATCCGACCAACTTGTGCGCTATGAAGGACCTGGAAAAGATCCTGCAGAAATTGTTGAATGTCATCTGGCCCCAGGTGTGAACAGTCCAGAGGGTCGTATCTGTGATGGCAATGGCTTGCGTCGCTCATGATGCAAGTCTTCCCGAGTTCGGTGCATATGGTACAGGCGGTGATGCGACCTTCTGCAGTGCTCGAAGGCTAGTGGCTTGTCAGCTTCAACTTCGTGCGTTATCACGGGATGGTGTTATTCACCCTCGAATCTGGTTGCCTAGGCCAGTTACCCATTAGGTCTCGAGTGTCAATATCTTCAGGATACTCAGGTTGACAGCGAAAGGTCGAGAATTGGGATGATGATGAGAATGTTCACCAAAAGCTCGTTGTGCTTAAAATTCAAGAAGTGACTTTGATAATGACAAGGGTTCGTGACGTCAACCGTTGCGTTACGTCACCAATATTTGAGATGGGGGCGGTCCAGCTTTAGCGAGACACAACGCCGAAAACCCAAAATCGAGCCTTCAGAGAAATCGGACTACACTCCCCGCGAAGACACCTATTTTCCCTTCTGGTTAGCGAAGTGAAGTGCGGCAAGCAAAGTCTCGACTTTGCCGACCATCCGAATGCTCTCAGCATGACTATTGCCCTTCGCGGCATTGTGGACGTATTTCGGAAGGCGGGTTGCGCTGTGGAGGTGTATCGCAGGGTCCTCGGGTTTTCGATATCGCACGATGACAGGAGTGCCCGCATCTATACTCAGTACATTGAGATTCCTAGGCGTCTTCAACGCGCTTTACTTTACGAGAGATCCTATCAAGACTGCGATTGTTCAGTTCGAGCTCGTCGAGGATAAAGTCGTCATACTAGGCTAAGATAAGCTCTGGATTGTCAAGGTGGGTGAGATAGTTTGTCAGTGGTAAGGCTTTAAATTTGATATCCAGAATTAAACACCTGCCTCTATCGGTTTTCGGCCTCGCTGTGTAGAGTCGTCGCAGTCAAATTGCACATAGTCACGCAAGATTGTCCAAGCGGTGTAGGCCCGTAACCTGAGTCAACCTGACCCATCCTCCACTCAATGTTACGATGGCGTCTTATAACAATACCCTTGTCTTTTCTTTACCTGATACAGTTCATGCGGATATGCAATTCGCTCTGGTGACAACCTGTACCTTACAGCCTGCCACTGCTTCGTCCATCCTCCGTCGCGAGCTCAATCCCATGATAGGAGAAATATCTTGCTTCCCTCAGGAGGCATGCGATAGCGGCTTGAGCCATAGTCTTCCTTCCGGGTAGCCACATCTTCCACGGTATTTATGATCTCCCCTCGTCTGCATTGTGGTCGAGGTAGCGGATAAGGTATGAAGGACATAATCTCATTCTCCCAAAGTGTCTTGAGAATCCCACGGCCGAACCAACGCTACTCGTGGTTGGGCAACCAAGGGACCAAACGCGTGGTTGCTGTATGGGATGTTTCGTTCTTCTCCTCTCGCTAGATGCGATTATAGTAGTTCTGCATGGAAATGAACTTGTGCCAGCCCTAGCGATCAGCGAGGTTCTGGAATTCTTGTAACTCTCACGCTGCGGTGAAGGGAGCACCAGGGTCACGGACCTTGCCTTATCCTACACATTATATGGTAGTTGGCTTCAACGGCCCCGGCTCAATGATCTGGATATGTGGCAAATGTCTCTCTACGACAAAAATCAGCCAGTGTACGGAGTGTGGCCATTCGCTCTGCAATATGTGTCGTCGGTTCAGCCCCAACATAATTGGAATCAACACGGCAGACCAACCAGAGTATATCGATAGAGAATACTATTGAATGGATTGCAGAGTACGATGATTAGGCCGAGAATATCAAAGCTTCATCTTGATCCCGGGGCAGCATCAGCTGGTTTTCTCTTCCGGTCTGGCATCATCAGCCCTTATATGCTAGGACTTTGTTATGCACTCTAAGTAGACTGCAGACTAAGGTGTTGCCTTTTTTCGTACACCAGCTTATTTTCCTTATATTGGCAGTAGTAGAAAGCGCCCAACGCCGTTTTCCTTTGTCGAAACTCTCGTCGAACATAAGGGTCCTTCCTTCCTCTTTCTTGTTCTTTACCGTCTGCTAGTAATTTGTGAGCATCGTCAGATTGTCTTCGCTTGGTCGTTTGCGGAGGCTCGTGGACGGTGGGTATAAAGTGAATCGGGATCTCGCGGCTCCGTTCTGTGGTAAATATCTCGTCCAGCCACTTGGCGAGCCGCTGTATTCCGCTGCGGTAGGCAAAAGCGGCTGAAGCTGCACTAACATCAGGTCTTCCTGCCACCTCCCTAACTGCTTCTCTCGGAGCTTTTCCGACCAACGACACCTCGGCCTTGATGAAGGTGACAGGCGTCACATCCACGGTCATTGCGACAAGACTCACTGCAACCAAGCGAGCATTCGCCGACTCCTTCATGATTATCTACATCATTGCTGCCCGGTTCGGTGTCGTGGCAGTCATAGCGGTATTCTTCTTGGGAAGTGTGAAACATACCATGAACTATGGAGTTGATGCTCCTGAGACCGCCTAGATCTGCTCTGCATACCAAATCAGTCCTGATCTAGCCTGAGGACCTGAGGGTGTCCTTTGGGGTTACATATTGGTTATGGGGCCAGGGACATGCATCTCATTCAAGACCCTCTCGCCGCCTTGTTAACCTGCATCGCGCCATCGTTGGCAGCATCTATCATTGCCTGGGCCAACTCCTCGGTGAACGTCTCGGCCACCTGCATGGGCTCGCTGATCCCGGTGCTTCCGATCAGAATGTACTCGCACTCGCCCCGCGCGCGAGCCTCACGAGCTCCTCGAGCAGATCGCCCCGGAGCGTGCAGCAGATGCAGCTGTTCTCCATCTGGATGAGGCGTTCTTGCGTGTGCGAGACGACGTGGCGTTTGATCAGGCATGCGTCGATGTTGAGCGCGGCATGTCCTTGACGGTCACGGCAATTCGCAGCGAATGCTGGTCGAAGGTCAGGACATGTTTGAGGAGGGTGTCCTTTCCGCTGCCTAGGAAGCCGGAAAAGAAAGTCACTGGGATCGCTTGCGAGACGCAGGATTCGTGGTCGTGGTCGTGTCGAACTCCGATTCCGGCTTGGACATTTGGCGGGTTCTCACGGCCATGACTGGATGGGAGAATGAATGAGTCGCGGGTAAGGACCAAGGTAGAGGGAGGAGAACGAGATAACGCATAAGGCAGGAAAGCAAGAATTCTGTAAGGAAGAGCAAATGGCACTGGAGGATATTCTTGTCCTTAAGTGATTGTCAATGTGTCTAGTTGGTTGGCTGGCCGTGGGTTCATTGTGGGTTTGGTGGATCAAGGACCATAAGGAGCATGCTCGAGAAGCCTCTTTTCTGTGATCCCAAGATCATGGCTGATTCAATGCTTCAGTTCGATAGTTCACTTCAGTAGTTGGACATATATTTGGTTGGCAGAAGGTAGTAGCTCATGACATCTTAACGTGGTATGCCAATTTTAGACGCCCATGCTGTCGTGCTGCAGTTGAGCAGATATTTACCATGATTCTCCCTGCAACATTGCGACATCCTCAACTGCCAGTATCATTCCCATTCATGCAGTCCTTCTTGATGGCCCTCTCCTTCTTTCCCTTAATATAAGTGGAGAGGTCGCCGACAGGGAGAGTAAGGGGGAAGTCGACCGCTTCGAGTAGCTGTACTGCAAGCACATACCATATCATCATCGTAAGGGCGAATGTAAATGCTCCAGCGGCCTGCGGTGATGTCAGCATTTGCGCGTGGGGGGGATTGTTGGAAAGGCAAACATACAACGGTCAGTCTCTCGCCGGCGTGGAGGTTGCCAAGGGCCAGGTTCCAGAAAGCGCCGGTGCCGCAGCCAAAGGCGAAGATCAGCGTGAATAGCGCGCAGAAGAAGACGACGTTGGTTCTCAAGGCGCACACAGTGAAGATTGTTGTCAGCATTCCGAGGGCAAGATAGTAGAATCCTAACCGCAAGAGAGACGAGTCAGCTAAAGAGATTACTGCTTCGAAGAGGAGATCTGAGGAAACACTCTTCCCATCTCGGGTGAGAAGCTGCACAGCATGTGCGAGAACGAGTAGAAAACAAGAGAGCAGGACAGACGTACCGAAGGTGGCATAATACGCTGGCTCAGTCATGCCTTGAAGATTGCTCCCGTTCGGAGAATACTGGAGGCCGACGCCAAACCAGGGGACCAACTGGGTGCCTGCGACGACCCAGAACGTCCCGTAGGTGAAGAACAAGCACATCGAGAATGTATTACCCAGGATCCATTCCATGACCGCGCCGATGATTTGGAGCATACCGCCGAAGAAGATCATTGTTGGTCTGTCGACACAGCGTCTCAGCATGGTATTCAATCAGAGCATGCCTCGCCGAGCGCTAGAAGCAAGCACACGAGCAAGGGAGATACGGTCTTTGTTGGAGAGGGCTCGCGAGCAGGACTCACATGATAGCACCTCCTGCTCCTCCTGCTCCACGCCAACCCATATTGGCAGCTGCGTACGGCGTCGCAGCCATGACGAAACCAATCAGACAAGCTGGAGTTGGGTTACCGAACTGAATCAGAAGTTATTGAGCATACAAAGTAAGTGACTGAATGGAAATTTGTCGTACCTTCTTCCTTAGATCGCCGGGAACATTGCGCTCGGGATTGAGGTAGAGGGCCTCAAAGACCTCGCGAGGAAGGAAGACGCTTTCTGCTGTTTGCACTCGACGGAGCACATCGTCGCGCGAGGTCGAATTATCCAATGGGGAGCTTCTCGTCTCGTCCATTACTGTGAAAATGGACTTCCTCTGCTAGAGGGATCGAAGATGGTATCCTTTTTTCAATCTGGGGCGCGCATTTGCGTATCACAAGTGTACACAGTAGGCGTGCGGCTCAAAAGGAAACAAGCAATGGACAAGAGAAAGGGCTTGAGCGTCGAGGGCTGGGTATTGGGCGAACGTCAGGGTTTATAAAGCTCGAACTTTCACCACTCCACGGAATCGTGGGATTCCTATGCAGCTTTCAGAGTATGCAACCTCGGGAAAAAGCAATGAGACATGAGCAAAGAGTAGCCGACTAGGCACGACTATGTTGGGAACTCTGGAACTGAGAGCAGTGCTGTGATTGATACTCGTGCTTGCAAAGATTCATTCGTTGAGCACGGTTGGGTTCGGCAGCTGTTATGATCCTTGGAGGTGCGGGGAGCCATTGAGCTCCACGAGGGTGGACCTTTTGGCAACGAAATACGTGACCTCTGGGGTTCCTATTGCGGGGAGTGAGTTGCGTCATGGTGCATGGTGTGGAAAGATGCTGTCATAGTAGGAATTGCAAGAAGACCAGCATGACAGGGACCTGTTTTTTCGATGGTACTGTGGTAGGCTCTGGGGGGAGCCGGATCTTCATGCGTCGCACAGCCCCGGCAAGTCCACGTTGCGTCCAGGGTGTTAGCAAGCGGGGGATCAAGGGCTTCCGTAAAGGCATGCGTTTTGTGCTGACCATTGGTGCGCAAGTGGAAACGCCTTTACAAGTGTGCATTTCGAGATTCAGCACAGAGCTGTCATACGTCCAAGTGGCCGGACTTGTTTGCCTTATTCAGACATGCTGAGCTTCTCCAGGTTGGTAGCAGCAGACGTGGCGTTAAGCGCGACATGTGCAGACTTGTTGATCCGGGCACTGCATGACGAGGAGTACAGCGCCCTCTGGCCATCTGGCGTTAGGCTACTACATCATTCGGGGGATGGCATGGATGATCGTGCAGAAGTTGCCGTTTCCTGGCTTCAGACGCTGTTTGAACGGGAGAACAATCTTCTTCATGGTAGGAGTTCTCACTTCCAAAACGGGCATGCCTTTCAGCTGTTCCGATTTCCGTCGTAGCATGTCACGCCTGCAGATGTGCCTGACGGTGAAACCATGTAACGCTCCTTTCGTCTGATGGATACTGACGGCCGGATCACTAGCCGCTGGTTTGGCTTTGGAGGACAACACTCTGTGCCAGCCTTAGGACTCCATCTGCTGCCTGTCTTACCCGCAGATGAGCAATAAATTACTCATCCTTGTCTTCTCGGTCCACGTCTGTAGACATCTGGACCGAATCTTCACAATAAGCAGGCAGGATACTCCATTGCTGACTCCATCTACCTGGTAGACGGACGCAGCACGGTGTAACGCGAGGAGACCAACCATACTTGCGACCTTTCGTCCGCTCGTCTGCGACGGACCCGTCAACAGCGACAGTTTGGTCGCCATTGGCTTTTAAATGACCAGCTGTAATCACTGAGTAGCTTCGTAGCATCATCAACCGTATTTCCGTTCTCAAGGTTCACCTCTTCGAATGAGTCTTGTGGATTGTCCTTCGCCAATGTATCGTGGTCACTAGCTGACTTGTTTGACTTGGTCTCTGCGATCGGCTCGCCTCTTTTCGAGGCTTTATACGCACTGAAGTCGATTTCTGAGGGCATTTCCACTCCCATCATCTTTTCAAGGTCAGCCTTCGCCTTCCCAGTTTTATACTGTGCACCGTAATGCTCGAGAGCTGATTTGGTCGAGCCGACGAAGAATAAGTAGGTTCTCCTTCCATAGCTTTGGGCAGGGTTGTCAAGTGGAACACACAGGGCAGACTTCATTTAGTCCGCGAAGGCTTATCACTAATGATCGCGCGCCATCTAAAAGAAACTTCCAGATGCGCCGCCTTTACTTGCGGTTCTTAACCCTATGTGCTCCAAATAGAGCTAGGGTTAATAAGGATGAACGTCTTGGCTATGGGGGGAATTCTAGGGGCCCTCCTTCGGAAGCCGGCATGGTAGGAATTGGGGTAGGAACTGGCGGCGCCACCAGCTGGTAATGTCAGCACGCAGCAAGCCAAAGCCCAGGACCTTTTACTCCACACTCGACACAAGATTACAACAGAACCCGTACTCTGGAGAACTAGCAGCGATGGCGCGAGCCCTGAGCTGTCGTTTTGGACGCTACAAGAAACGATCTTGCCATAATCTTCATACCCCTGACCTGGCAGACTTCTCGAGTCCTGCGCTAGACAGGTCAACTTCTCCTCTCACGTGTGGCTTTCTTTGCGTCGAGTTGCTGACGTTGTCACACCCTTCGTCGATATTTAGGGTGCGTTCCGTTGGTTTTCTCGCTCGCATAGATCGTCGTAGAGGTCGTGGACCTGACGCGTCTGGCTCGACTGGGCGCATTTGGTGTAGTTGGAACCGCGTCAAATACGTCACCGCTTCTTCGATCTCAATTCGCAATTGTGAGTGGGTGCTTGGGCCCTCGTGGCCCAGGTCAAAAGCTTCTACTGTCGCCATCCGAAATTTGCTCCGACTTTCAATATGTAGCTCGGATCTTACGAGTGGTCCAATGGTGCTCAATGTTGCTCACTCTCAACAGCACTGAACGATTCTGAGCACCAAATCGCGTGATGCTTGCCTTCAGCTTTCACGTGCCTCTTTCGGCGCACCTTCCTTGCGCTGTTGTCTCATCCACATTGGGAAACTTACTGTTTCCAGAAACAATCCTCGTCTCTTGTCGTTACCATCGCGACTTTCGCACAAAATTCCCCTCTCAACCCAGATAGCAGCGATGAGTATTCTGGACCTCCCCATAGAAGTTCGCTTACAGATCTGGTTGAATTGCCTGGAGGCTCTCTGTCCTCTCGGTTCTAGACCTGTTCAGATCTGCGCAAGCTTTGATCGCCTCTGCGGATACCAATATGAACCTTTCCAAAATCCGATGCTGCCCATACTCCTCTCGACCAAGAGCATCCACACCGATGTCTCGAAAAATTTCTCGAGGACGGAGCTAGGAGTTCACACATTCAGGTTCTGCTCTCCCGAATGTGTTGTGCGGATCCTTTCAAGGACGACCTGTTTTCCGATCGATTTGGTGAAGGACGTGGAGGTCAACACATGTGGATCGTGGGGAGTACCGGTGGAGAGGGTAGTTCGGGTGTGTCAGAGGATTATAGGACTTTTGCAAGACGCGTCCACCAAACATAATACCGGTCGAGATAAACAGGCAGCAGAAGGAAGGAATGCTCTGTGGGCAGCAAAATTTAAAGAGCAGGCTAAAGCAGGCTCGCCGCCTTGGAGACTGGTATTCCACAGACTCGAGTAAAAGCAGACGACCGGGCTGTCGGATGATGTAATATGAGAATGGAGTTTCGTGTCGCCACAGAGAATCGAGTTGTGCATTCCGTTGCAACTTTGCACTTTCGGTGGGCAGTGTCACGACGGTCGTCCGCAGAAGACAGGAAAATCATTCCGTGCCTGCCATCACATGCGGCCGGCGGATGGTAAATCCCAAAGCAGAGCATGCTGCGCGTTAAGCCTGAAGTGAACGTCAAAAGGGTTTCGCCATCCGTCTTTTGCCGGCCTTGATTTTCCGGCAATTGCACCTCCCAAAATGGCAAGGCTCAGACGACGTCCTATATCTTCATATGCCATATTGGCCGCATTCCCACCTCTTGCACACTAGACCCCGGCCGTTCCGGGCCCGGTCGTGCCGCCCCTCCTTCTTTTCCGGAGAGATTTGGGGCCGCTTTACAGTGGCCAATCCATAGGACCGTCTAACCGCATATGGGCAAGCCCTGATTGACCTGCCCAATACTTACCAGATCTGCGGATATCCGGCTTTGGGGCCGGCCAATATACCTAGTCCAGTGAGGAGCGTCAATGGCGGCAGTAGCATAAATGCCGTAACCCGGAAATACGTCGACGCCCCTCCCATGGGATCCAGTGTGCGGAACCGGCAAGTCCGCTAAAATTCGCTAAAGCTAACGGCATCAATTTTGCAGGTTAGCTTCCACCTGACGGACCGTGAGTTTCGAAGGGCCATGAAACCATTTTGTTCATATAGTCGCCCGCCACTGGGAAAGTAAACTCCGTCCAGTAACCTTTCGAAGCGAATGACGTAACCACATTAGTGTAAGCTCGAGAACACGTGCCTCTCAGCGGACAGTTACGGGCCGGGGGGCCATTGGTTGGTCCGGAAGGTTTAAATCCCCTGCACAGGACGAGTCAAGCCGTGGAGGACGTTTGCATGGCTTCTTCCCTCGGTAAATGTTTCTACGATTGGACAGAAACGTGGAACTAGGTTGATAGGAAAACTCTCACATTGACTATGAGCTTTTTTCGCCTTCTTTCCAAGACACGGGGAGCAGGAAACTTAGATCATACGTAGGCAAGGCTTGTTCCAAATCATCTGCTTGTGCGTAACATGTGAATGGCGTCAAACCATTCAAGCAGTCCTTTAAGGAGCTGCGGCAAAAGAAGTACAAGTACGAGCAGGTCTGCGATGGTCAAGAATTTTGGTTTCCTCAGACACAACCCCAACCCAGAGAATTGGGACATGAGTTACTGAAACCTTACATTAGGCGCTTCCCAAACATGTCCCGAAATAGGTGTGGTCAAGTAAGTCTCGCCGACGACGCAAACTACCATCACAATAGCAACAACTAACTCAGGCACAGGAGCATGGCCCGGCAATAGAGCTGGCGCAGCCGCCTGACGTTCAACGAAGTGACACCACTCCAGCTCCAGCTCCGGCTTCAGGAGAACTGGTACATCCGACCGCTGCCGGTGTTACCTCGTCTGATGGACGGCGTAATTTAGGCCACGACGACCTCCAGGGACGTCGATACGATGCTGGCCACGTCGATGATGTTGCTTGTTCTAAGAAGACCGAGAAGAGCAAAGCAGGTGGATGGCAGGGTTTTTGGAATTACGTCCGTGCTCTCCGAAGGAAGAAAGCGACATCTGCGTCCGTGGGCGGAAAGAAGGGAGAGGAAGACGAAGTGGGTAACGTCGAGGATGACCATTGGCGTACAGTTCAATGTCGCATTCAGCAGCGCCATCAGCCGCTCACAAGCTCCATGAGCATCTAGCGCTTCGATACTATATTAGGGTCTACATCAACGAGGTATGGGCCAAAAGAAGAAGACTCGCGTGCTGGCGGATGAATGATCTACTTATATATGGAAATAGTCAAGATAGTTCATCGCCGTCGGCATCGAAATGAATAAATAAATACGAATATAGCCCATTTTCATCTCGCATGCGTATAGAAGTGAATATCTACTCGCGTGGATACGGATACGTATTTACACGAATCACGCTCGGTCCAGCGGGAAGCTGACCCCTTCCGTGCGCCAGTGGCAGCATTGATTTTGGTTGCCTCCTCGACTGTTGGTCTCCCTGTTTGCTCCTCGAGCACATGGCATCAGGCGATCTCTGAGCCAAGACGATACGACTTCGCTATGCTCGCACGGAATCAAGGCCCCAGTACGAGTGAATTAGCACAGTTCCTGTCTCTCCCCACATAACATGATACGCATCCATCCTTTCGGGCCACTCACGTGGACGGTCCCTTCTCGTACCAGCAGTCACCGCCAATGCGCACCACGGCCCGCAAGCTCACCAGGGGCAACTTCAGCTCACGCATTCTCATCTTTGTGGTAAATTTGGCATCGTCCAGCCTCCGAGTATATAACTTCAATCTGTTCCCATCTGTCGGTCAGATCCGGCGCCATGACGTCTCTGCTATCGTCAAACGTTGTTCTTGGTATGTCCTCGAAAGCCATCAGGGTCAGCGGCTCAAAGTTGAGCCTGCATGGCTCCGTCAACAGAGCCTTTCACGAACCATAGCAAATATGGGAGGGTGTCTCCTGACCTCAAATGCTGAGGGAATTACCTGTGCACCCAGCTCTATCACCAGAAGAAATCTGCGAATTGTAACGACCTAGGACGGCTGAGTGACAGCTTTGCCAGGTTGACAAATCCGGATCGCCGGCGTTGATCGTTCAAGACGGCTCATGGTTTTGCGTAGGACCTGGCGACCGGCTGCCAAGTGTTACACGTCGGGTCGACGGTGGCGTTGGAGTCAATATCGTTCGATTGACTGGCGACTGACTTGTTGGGCGGGAAATTGTGCTAGCAGGGTCGTCTAACCCTTCCACGGCTTCAATCTCACAGCTGTGCCACATCTGTGGTGAGCGTTGCGACGAAAAACAGGTCAGATCAGGAAGTCAACACTTCACCAAGCTGGCTCCTTATGTGCGACAACGCGGACGACCCGAAGCTATCACTGGTGCGGTATTTCCTGCGGGAAACCGAGATGACATTATCAGCAGGAGCCGCAATCCTCAGTGTCAACAGTACAACACGATGGGATATCAACAAATTGGACAGCTGTCGGTTGATGATGCGGTGTCATTACTCAATAATATTATCTAGGAAAGGATCGGCCCATCACAGCAAGATACGCAGGAGCTACGAAAGAAGCTCAGAATATCACCCAGGCCTAGGCTATTAGCATTAGCTATCGTGCAAGCCGGAGCCTATATTCGCGAGACCTCTTGCTCACTCCCCGACCACCTCCGAAGAAATCTGCTCCAGGATCTACCGAAGCATCTGGGCACGGACTACCAATACTCCGTCTACGCGACGTGGCAGGTGTCGGTCGATACGATTGAGTCGAAGGGTGATACAGCATCCTCTCACGCTCTCCGGCTCCTGGGCCTCCTAGAGTTCTACCACCACGACCAGCTTCCCATTAGGATGTTCTACAACGTCTGGCATCAGTCACAGAGGACCCAAGTCCCCGATTACTTACCATAGCCGGGCGCGAGGCCGTCTTCCCTTGACTGCAGACGATGAGTGCAAGCTTCTATTGCCGTACTTGCCTCGTTTTCGCTGATCACGAGAAATGCAGACGCCTCATTGTCCCGGCATCCTCTCGTGCATGGGTGGTGTCAAGAGCAAATTGCTGATGAGGAGCGACGGCTGAGCTATCGACAAGCACAATTACTACTAACCTGCTCTATGGGCAAAAGGGCAAGCCAGGGGTGGCTTATCCTGACACGCCGAGGCCGATGCACAGTTTGGCGATTTGATACAGGGAGGCCTGGCGAGCAACAGGGCCACTACAACTGACGGAGGTGGTGGAACTGCACAAGAGCAAGCTCGGGGCGGATCATCCTGACACGTTGAGATCGATGCACAATCTGGTGATCTGGTACAGCGAGGCTGGGCGACGAATAGAGGCGCTATAGCGGACGAAGGAGATACTAAAACTGCAAATGAGCAAGCTCGGGGGGGATCATCCTGACACGGTGGCTTCGGGAAGGCTTCTTTCTTATCTCTGTCAAGAGACTGAAGAGGCTCTGGCAACACCAGAGGTTTCACATCGCACGTCGTTCCAAATGGAAGTTTCTACAATGGGTCCGCTCTGGATGAATAAGTAGCAGGCTCAGAAAGTGATTTTCTTCTACTCCTTGTACTACCAAGTCCATTCAACCGTGACGTAAAACTCCGACTCCCACTTGAAATTAAATCAAGTGTAGAAATTGAACCGAAACGCCAATGCACGGAACGTATATGCGTCTAGATCTTCACTCCGAAGTCCAGCGGCCGCTCCACAAGAATAGAATCCGAAGACTCGACGTCCAGCTCCACCTCACTCAGCCGTCAGCAGCTACTTCGGGGAATGTTCCTGGCGACAATAGACTTGAAGGATGTCTCATTTCGACCAGAAATACACCGGCCAAACGGAAAAGACTGCCACATGCGATATCACTCCGTGCTCGGCGAAGCAGGCTCGAGAGCTCGAACTCAACCACAAAGCGGCAACCAAGTATCGAAATCAACACTAGGCATTGATTGAGCAATTCGCATTCTAATATTAGATTGCATTGGCTGCCGTTACACCGGGTTTGGATTCTGTTCCGATTGCTGAGGACAGCCGCTGTTTCCCATCGTCCGCCTCGGACGGCCACTCAAAGGAGGAGAGTGACTGGATATATATATCAGCATGAGATCGAGGCAGGACAAGGACGTGGTGGATAACTTCGCTCGCGGAGTAATCATTGCAGCCGTTAGATGAATAAACATTGCCATTCACTGCAGTTTCGTCTGACCCCTAACCGGGTTCTTGTTAGTTTCTGGTCTCTCCACTAAGCTTGGTCTTACTCGCCGGTATCCAGATCTTTTCTCTAACGGCAGTGGCAAAACCACGGAAAGCATGAATAATTGCTCTGTAGAATGTCATTCTGTCGACGCGAATCATCGAGAGAACGATTTCAAAACACAGGCGCTGAAGAATAGAGTAGAAGCATCCAAGACAACGCTTTATCGGAAAAGGTCTGGTCTGCGGCATGGCACCTACCCCGCGCGAGCCTCGGTCGCGTGCAACGTCGACGCTCAGATTGCGGCGCGAGAAGAAGTTGGCATCAATCCTCGATCTGCCACTTCGCATAAATAAACCGCTGATCGACTGCCACAAAATTCCTAAGCCCGACGTTCCCTCCTCGAACGAAGATTAGATCTGACTTTACCCACGAACCGGGAGAAAATTAGCGAAGAGCAGTTCGGCAGTCGTTTCAGACTCTGGAGAGACACAGGAATGGGCATTTGTGAGCACACAGTTCCCGGTGCAACCCGGTACACAGAGACTCATGGAGTTATATGGATAGAGAAAGACTTTCATCAATAGTTCTGAATGTGTGAGGATGTCTTCCATGAATTTCGAGCAAAGACAATGGAACCTAAAATAGCTCGTCTGCTTCAAAGTGGAAGGTATGATGAAGCCGAGTAATTATGTCGACGTCTACTGGTCGAACGTGAGGTGATGCTCGATGTGCATCACCCTCGATCACTATCGATCAAGAACAACCTTGGAATCATTCTGAAGAATCAAGGCACGCTGGAAGAGGCGGAGAAAGCATATCGAGACATTCCAGCGGTGGAGCAAATGGCCCCCGGCGATGACGGTATGCGCTTGTTGGCGACCAAAAACGATTTAGCGCTGGTGTTTCGAAGTCAAAGGAATTTTTCAGAAGCTGGACCCGTGCACGGAGAAGAGTTGGAACTAACCTTCGCCAAATGGGGGCGAAGAACATATGTCAACCCTCACAAGCCAACACAATCTAGCCCTGGCGTTAAAACATCTGGGTAAACTCGAAGAAGCTGAGGAGATATTGTGCGGAACATTAGCGAAATGCGTGAAGATGTTAGGCCGGGACCATCTCCTTACACTAAGGATCAGAAGCAATTAGGCTGTGGTGTTGAGCCTACAAAGCAGAACTGAGGCTGGGCAGCCGCTTCCAGAAGCACTCGATGCGTCTCACGCACTTATTCGGTGCTTCGCATCCAGACACCTTGGCGAGCAAAGCGAACCTCGCGAGAACGGTGGAGTAATGAGGGCGGCACGCCGAGGCGGAACCCCTGTGCAAAGAAATTATCGCTGCTTGAAACGCACTCGGCGGCACAAATCATCCCAGCTGGCTGAGTGCAATCGCGGGATTTTCTTCAGTATTGAAACATCAGGGGACGAAGCGAAGATGACACTGCATTCACGATCTTATTTAGTTGGATGGGTTCACAAAATCTTCCCCATTGCAATGGTACAACGAGATGAGACCTTGATTCGCTGTTGGTACCGTGGACAGTTCGGCAGAATCTCGAACCATACGATTTCCTTGGACGAACCGCTCTCCAATGTCGACGGAGCCTGTCTTCGTAAAGTGGCTCCATATTGAATCTGGAGAAAAGAGCATGGCAGCATGACATGTAGGCCCCATGGTTGCAGGTCCCGACTCAAAAGCTGAAAAAAGCGGAGATGTAAGCCACCGGCACAAGGGGGCGGATGCAATACGTCAGCAAAAATCCAAAATATCCGGCTCAGGTTTTGCCCGCCCATTCAGGTTGCCGGCGATTCAACAGTCATCAAGCAGTCTCACCGCCCACAGGCGCCACAACCCCGGTGCCGTACTGGCGGGTGAATGGGCCCCGGAGGGGCTGATTTATATTCCGTATTCCGGCATCCCAGTCCTTCGCCAGCCGCCAACCGCCAGCCGACCTAACAACCATCGGCTTCAGCCGACATTGAGTGGCTCATACATGTTCATTCCGCCAGATCGATGATGAGGGGGCCGAGTGCGGGATGTTGAGTGCTCATGGTACAAAAGACAACACTTATATGAGTTCAAGAAGACTGACTCCAGATATCGAATGCTCAGAGTCATACTATCATCCTCACTCAACAGCGAGCAAGCCTATCAAATTCAAACAACTTCCGTCCAACATGTCCACCACAACCACAACTACAATCGCCCCCATCTACGACGACGATAACCGCTCGCCAGCTTCTGCCCATTGCGTCTGTAAAAGACTCATGGTACGAAGACCTCGTGCGTGATGAGTATGCCATAGTCATGGGAGCGATACCTCGCGAGCGTGCCGACCAAAACGCCTCAGACATGTACCCGTACCTCGATGGCTTCAATCCAGGCTTCGACCGCAACGACCCTAGCACAGTGCAAGCAGACAAACTGCCCCTGATCAACAATAAGGGCATGTGCATGCGCTACGCCGTCAACCACGAAGATTTTGCCTGGAAAGTCCGATCCGAGGCGGGCGTCATCGATGCCTTCACCAAAGCCTACCAGACCGAAGACCACATCGTATCCTTCGACGCCGTCAACTTTGGATTCTCCAACCGCAAAGACCTCCCGCCCAACACCTCATGGCCGCATCAAGACCAGGACCGCACCAAGCCCGGATTCCGATGTTTGCAAGGACCTACTGCTCGGGGACTCGGCACGCCTCACTACAACCTGTCCTCCAAGTCCGCTAGGCCATGCTTCTGCGCATACACGTGCTACATGCCCCTCGCAGACGTGACGACCGAAGACCTGCAGAAGAAGAAAGCTGCATTTGAACGTGAGCAATCAAAGATCATGTATGGTATCGACTGATTGGAGCACCTCGAATCTTGGATAAGTGCGCTATCTTCGCCGATGAGTCTCGATCTAGTACGCAACTCCACCGATCGGGCCTCATCTGCTTACGACTTGTCGTTCCCATTTGCTGGTGGTTTGTCAGCACATCATGACTCGCACCATATACAGAAGATCGGTAGACGGTTAGTGACTTTTAACTCCCGCCCAGACTACCCTGCCAAAGGTTGTCGAATCAAGGAGGTGGAGTGTCATAGCTTCGCGGATACGGCCAGAGCAAATGCCTTCTTCGCTATGGCTTCTTCTAGTGAATACCTAGCAAATACAATATCCTTTCGCTGCCATTCTTAATTCTCTGTGCTGTTATGCCGAATAAATCATCGTGTGAGACGTAGTCGCCAGTAACTATCTTACGCCTAGCGGACACTTACTCGTTCTCCGTAGTCCGCCCTTTCCAAGGATGCAAATCACGTGGTCTTGCAGCCTCCACGTCACGTGCCACTACTACACGCCAGCGTATCTACGGCGCCCGTCCAGAGTGATATTATACGATTGAAGAACCGAACTTGTGGCCCTATGGTTTGCTCGGGGGTTCGATCTCCGCTAATTGATGGTTTTAATGACGACTTCGTCTATATTGCGTTGCCACTGCTGCTGACGCTGGGACTTGTACGCTGTCGTTTTGGACGCTGCAAGAAACGATCTTGCCATAATCTTCATACCCCTAACCTGGCAGACTTTTCGAGTCCTGCGCCGGACAGGTCGACTTTTCCTCTCGCGTGTGGCTTTTTTTGCGTTGGGAGGCTGGCAGGGATCTTGACGCGTACTCTTTCATCGACAGCTATGAGCGAATTCGACATTCACTTTCGTTGTGTTATATATTACGGCAAACACGATATGTATGGTCTAACCGTGAACGAGCTCACTGAGCCTGCCGCTCGAGGCAGAATACTCGCCACCATCTACTTGTTCCACTCGTGGTGGGCATCCAGCTCAGCGATGTAGCACACTCTCTCGGCATCAGTCCTCACATGCCGAAAATCATGCAGCGGTCGATCGACGGGATAACACTGCTAGAATGGACCGGTCACATTACAACCAGTGCATTGACTGCCAGACCCCTCTCGTCGCGAGAAAGAAGCGGAGATATAACCTGCGACTGATGGGACGTATTTCTCAGCGAGCAATTTGCATGAGGGCCGACTCTCACTTCGCTGCTAAGTAATCTCGAATTGGTGCTTTGTGAAGCCCCTCCGTATGCAGCGCGGGCCGAGGGTTCGTAGAAGGCGAAAGGGTGAAGCACTTATTCGACACGCATCTCTCCCCTGGAATTAATGATTCGGAGGGCGCAGATGATGCAGCTGCAAGACTGCCCCAGCAAGAAGCATGAGTCGAAGACTTAAGTTAGGGCAGTCGAGGGCCGCAATAATAGATGTTGAAGATTCAGCCGAGATGCCTGCAGACGTGCGAGAGCAGAGGGTTAGTCGTTCCGTGAGAAGCTTGTCAAGACTACCTAGCAGCGCTCAACCGCCGAAATCGGACTGGTCAGCAGGATAATCCCTGCCATATTGAAACCATATATCCTGCTTCAGCGTACGCTGAAGCGGTGGGGTGCATTAAGGTAGACACGGCAGTCAATGAAAAGCATAGCATGTCAATATCAAGCACTTAGACCTTCATACCCCAGTGTGGTCTCCTAGAAGGAAGTCTAATGGCGCAGCATGGTCGAAAACATCCGTTCGCGCCGTATTGAAGAAACTGTTCCCGGACCGTCGAGTGGATTCCCTCCTTGAGGAACCCTAAGCCTCTAGCAGACCTGGGAGCTTTGCTGGACCATTCTAGCAGCGGCCGTAAACTTGAAAATAACAGTCAACTGGGCCAGGACAACTACGACCAATGGTTAATAAACGCTATTCGGAAACCCGCAGCAACACGTACTGAGCAGCTTCCCTCCCAAAAATCACGTGCCACAGATACTTCCATTACGCGGCCACTGTGCGCATCATCTTTGTCCATATCCATTACCCAACGACGAATTTTGATGTAGTCCGCCACCGGCCTCTCGTGGATCTGTTCCCTCGTGACTGCGAATTGAGCGCAACAAGGCGTCCTTACCTTCGTGTACAGCAGCTTTTCTCTATCCTCCAACGAGGAGATGCCTGGGATGGAGGCGGGGCCAGCGCGATTCTGACAGACACAGGGGTCGATGTCCCATCGAAAAACTCCCGCCAGACCTCGCCGTTGATATGTGGATTAGGCCTCGAGGCCCTGTTGCAGCCTGGATTCCAGTTGCATCTGAGGTTGACATAACCCATTTTTTTGACATAATCCAATCAAAGGCTCCGCGTAGCGGCCACATTAATCGTGCAACGGAGTATCCACGTGCCATGCTTGGAAGAACCCGTTACGATGTGCATGTAGGAAGGCAACTATGGAGGGAATACTAGAATTATAGTTGTCGATGATGTAGCTCAAATATGCCAGGGCCTCGCGTCCTTTGTCACGGGCGTATTGAGCATGTCGCTATGCTCCCCAGGTGGTTGCGAAGGGTTGACTGTGTAGATTGCATGTTTCCAACTGCGAGCACATGCAGTTTAGCATAACCAAAACCAAAACTGTGAGTGGGCATCGTCTGACTTACTCTGGCAAATCCTCAAGCACCCAAGACACATTCTCTTTCTCGAGAGCAGGTATAACGATGATCTTGTCCCCACACATAAATCGACTGCGATACATCCTCCCATTCTGCTTCATCACAAGATGGGCGACGATGTCTACAAAGGCTCACTTACAGAATGGCGACGCCTGGCATTAAAGCTAATATGACACCTCGACAACGATTGCTTCAACACCTCTACATTGGCTATCGGGCCATAAAACCTCATCCTTGGCCCACTGCCTTATTATCGCACTATTAAACAGGTAGTCCTGCATACGCACACTTGCATACCACGTATACCACCCGATTCGAGACCATAGTATCATTCTACCCAGCGAACCCCAAACTCGAAAGAAGTAACCTGCGTCCATTTCTCTCACCAACCATCATATATCAGATCCTGACCATCAGAATGCGCAATCTCCCACAGCTGATGTTGAATCGGAATCTTTTGAATGCCCAGATGTAGCACTTCCCATCCATCAGTAACCAATCTGTCTGAGATCATCCGCCGGTGGCATCGCCACCAAAGCGTCTCACTGCACATGTAGGCTACTGTGTTGCCCTCTGCTAGCTTCTTAAGCTCATCCAGACCTTCTCGGAACGACTCGCTACTCATGTAGCCCGCGTAGTTCTTGAATGCTTGAACCCTAATCGCCGTGTGGCGTTCGTTCTCTGGGCTGACTGACTTCGGGCGGCGGCCGCCCAGGGACTCACCGGCCCATATGTACTCGATTCCCGCTGCGCGTAGGTCTGATGATGTTGTCAGGGTGTCGCGATTGAATTGAGGATTTGTGCGAGAGCGCGGAATGGAGCGCACGTCGACTAGTTTTGTGACTTGGGCGGATCGGAGAAGACTGGTAAGTTCGGAGCGTGAACGTGTGCCGTGGCCAATTGTGAAGATGAGAGGATTACTAGTAGCGCGGCTGAGCGAGCTCATGTAGTTTTCCTGACAGGATTGCGCTTCGGTGAAGATTCCAGCGCTGAGCAGTTGGGGTTTAGAGGGCTTTTCAACAATCTTGTTACGTCGTCGTCCAGGCGAAGTGCTCGAGCCATTGTGTTTGGCATTTGGCCGCGTTCGCACTTGTCTGGATCTAAGCTTTTTATGAGAGCTCGGGGATTTTCTTGCCATCACGTATCCTGAGCAAAAGGACTACGCTTCGTGCAGGTTCAGTCATAGCGGCCAATGATTGAGGAAAGCTTCTCGCAAAGCTATAGCATCACTCTAAGGATAAAATCTCTAGCCCGCAGTCTCAATAGTCGCAAGATGGCAGCTGCCGCATGTCAAGGCGAGGTAAATGCCCTGTGCTCAACTCCCGGCCAGCGCCAGCCGGAGTGAGACGGCACCTGCGACTAGCCCAGGATGGCGCTCATGTGATCATTCGAGCAGCGGGGTGTCCAACAGCGAGTGGCCAGTGGGAAGGTTCAACTCCAAACCACTTTGGAGGGTACGGAACTGGGTATGCCGCGGAAATGCAACTGCCGGGGAGTTATCTACGTGCGAGAGATAGGCCCGTTTGCCAGGCTTCCAGGGCCGGAGTCAGACGCTTCAAAATGAGCCAATCTAGCATAAAGCTCGCTCACTATAAATCAAACTCTGGATGAGACCATATCACGTGTCCCGTTTTGTGTCGCAAGGAGAAATTGTATCACCTGCAATGGTCCGGCACATGAAGTTAGCTTTCATCAACGGACATACGCTCGCTGCCAGCATGAGCCCTATTGCCTGGGCGGCGCAGGAGTTGATGCCCATGCCTCTCTCTGGCTCAGACTGGAGTCTGGGTGAGCTGTAATCCTGGCTATCTTGTCGTGTGCCAAAGGATCCAGGTAGCTTGGCTCCCAACGAATGAATGTGACAGCATTCTGGATACAGTAGCGAACGCCCGGAACAGCGGCAGGTTGAGATGGCGAGGCTCATTAGGAAACGTTCCGGGAATCTACATGTATGAGCCATCATATGCTTCTCGGGGGATCGATGTTGTTGTCTGGCCTGACTCTGCATTCTGGAAACCTGGTGGCTTTTTCCCATATATACTTGTTGTATACCAGCAGTTACTGCCGCAGAACATTGTTTGGACCTGCGCGCCTTGGAGAAGCATCGTATGATGATGTAGACACTTCTCCCGGACACCTGCTGCCATCCGTTCTACCGTTTCGCATGCCATCATCGTCTTCCGTGACTTTCGTTTTGCCGCATACCCGCGGCCCTTCTACTCCGACACATGATCTTGGCGACCCGGGCCCGGAGAATCCGCCACTTACAGCCCATCTAGTTTCTGTTGTCCATGAGCTTAACATGTAGGGAGAAAGCATCTTCCGCGGGAAACCCATGGCTACGGATCACGGCGAGTCCGAAGGTTTCAGTCCCTTCGATTCCCCAGGTGCATGTCCAGTGCCTTTCATTGAGCAGCGGCAGTGGCTAACATTCCAGAACAATCAAAATAGTTATATTCTGCATAGAACTCGAAAACAAACGTCCACACTTCTGAGATTGCTTTCATTTCACCCACTTGCAATAGCCAATCCACAATCTAGAAGCGCCCTTCCGCAAAATCACCACCGCCATGCCTATTCAGATACCCGAGGCCGAAAGTCTCATGGATTTATTCAACCTCAAAGGCAAAGTTGTCGTCGTCACGGGTGCATCAGGACCAAGGGGCATGGGCATCGAGGCAGCTCGAGGGTGTGCAGAGATGGGAGCAGACGTCGTAGTCACGTACTCTTCGCGCGCCGAAGGCGGAGAGAAGAACGCCCAAGACCTACAGGAGAGGTATGGAGTCAAGTCCAAGGCGTTCAAGTGCAACGTTGGGGACTACGATAATGTCATCAAGTTCGTCGAGGACGTCATCAAGGAGTTTGGCAAGATTGACGTCTTCATCGCCAACGCAGGTCGCCCAGCCGACCGCGGTGTTCTGGACGGCTCCAAACAGAAGTGGGACGAGGTTATTGCCACCGATCTCAACGGTACCGCATACTGTGCCAAAGCAGTTGGACAACACTTCAAGAGCGTGGTACCGGCAGCTTTATTATTACCGGTTCGATGTCCGGACACATTGCCAATTACCCACAAGAACAGACTTCTTACAACGTCGCCAAGGCCGGCTGCATCCATATGGCAAGGTCCTTGGCCAATGAGTGGAGAGACTTTGCTCGTGTCAACAGCATCTCGCCAGGATACATCGACACCGGCCTCTCGGACTTTGTTGACCAGAAGATTCAGGACTTGTGGAAGTCAATGATTCCAATGAACCGTGACGGAGAGGCCAAGGAATTGAAGGGAGCATACGTTTATCTAGCCAGTGATGCTAGTTCGTACACCACTGGGGCTGATATCGTCATCGATGGAGGCTATTGCGTTCGATAAACACGTAGGCAATTCGAGAGGTAGTGAAGATAAAAGGAGAGCATAAGGGTGCGCAAGGCCGAAGCTTGAGGGCTTTAGTACATTTAGTCAAGGTTACAGAGTTCAGCGCAACTTACTGCAGTAGATCCTAGAGGATCAGTTGTGTTCCAGAATGTCCAAACCCAAGTGCCCGTTATGTTTCTATGACTTGATTTAGGTTGAAATGGTACCTGCCAACCGCCGACGCAGTCCTCGGCTGGGCTTTTATCGCCTGGTCAGTACGACCAGATCTTGATTCAGATAGCAGAATGTGGCGCTGCCGCGGTCGGACAGTCGAGCGGAGACGGAGATAAATGTGCTGACCGCATGGGAGGATTCGCAAGTCACCCGGACGCGCTGTGATCTCTCTATCGACGCTCCTGAAGAGATCATTTGCAAACCACAAATTTCCCACGTGCTCATGGGTGGCTTTCAATAAATTCCCTTCTTGAGGAGGTCCAGCGTGATAAATGGATTGAAGAATCACAAGACTCGTCTTCACCTTTCCAAATTCAACCGAGGGTGCAGTGAGCTGCAGCAAAACATTCAACTATTGAAGGCGATAACCAAGTGGAAGTGGTAAAGCGCCGTCATACAAGTCTGGTTTCGGGGTGGGTAGGTCACCGCGAACGGCTCCAGGTAATTGTTTAGGCGGTCGGATGCATAACGAAGGTGTTTTCCCCCTTCGCCCGCAATTATAGACATGTTATCGGCCTGTGCATTCACTTCATCACCGGCTCTTGTACCTTTTTCCCTAAACTCTTTGAAGTCACTCTCGGATAGGCGCGCGGAGATAGAGATGATCGAGATATGCGTAAAGCGCATTATATGTCGACCCTATTTCCGGGCTCGCCAGCTTCAGAAGTGTCATCACGCTCGTATCCCTGAGGATAGATGCCACCGTCAATCAAGTTCTGCTTGGAGTTGAAATCGTAAGAAAACCTGCCCTTGCGGGTTGGGTGCTGAATGAGCGCTTTCCAGCTTGAATTGGACTGGCTCATGGTGTTGCCGTGATCAGGCCGAATTGCAAACTACAAGAACACCACATAACGAGACATATGTTCTACATTACTTTACCTGGGTAATCCTAGCCGCCAGTACATTCGTGCCGGCCGTCCGTGCCATGTGCCGTCTCCTTCGTTGATCTATTGGCAACGATATGGCAGCTTTTCGAATCTTTCTACCGAAGAGAAGTGTGTGAAGCTTTCAGATGAATCTGGACATGCCATCTCAATTTATAGAAAGATAAAATCCGCATTAGCTTCTGTCTAACATCCTTTTCAGGACTATAAGGCCTCGGAGGATGAAGAGATCTTTGACTATATCTATTGCGGCGTCGACCATGGTCTGATATCACCTACGGAAGTAAGCGGTGTGCAACCGCAAAGCCTATTCCTGCGTCTACTCTTTAAACTGTGGCCGCTTTTACTTCCAGCAAAAACATGGAACGAACGTTCGGTGCAAAAGTTGGGTCTGGTATGGTTGTGCGAAGAACCCCCTTGTTGCATTGCTTTCGGTGCCATTTTTCAGAGCATCAAGAATGCGTACAGCAGGCAAAACAAGCGGGTTTCCAAGCAATGTTGGCCAGTGGTAGTTGACGAAGTGCATCAATCGGGGCTAACTCTATCGAAGTATTCAGGGGTGGCCCGACCTTGTGGGATGGCGTGGTAGCCGACCAATCCGTAACAACGCCAACAGAGCTCCGGAAAGACGGAACGAGAAATACCGCCAAAGCCAGAAAATCCCTTCGGGCCGTGGGTTGCCCCAATAGATCTTCAACCACGTCATAGCCTGGCCGTGGATTAGACTAAGCCGTGAAGATAGACTAGGGGTGACGGCCTTCCACCTGGAATCAGCTCAGCGATGCCCGTGACGCGACGTGGATCGCAGATCCCAAAGGGCCCTCCTCGGGCCAATGGGAGTCCCTTTAATTTGGCCGCCCCTGGGCCGAAGTGATAAGTTGCAGGGTGACACGGGATCTTAAGTGGTCATCTGGATTCGGAATGTACCTGTACTATTCATTCTTATTGCACTGTCGAAGCTCGAAGCTCATGGCAGTTTCACCCAGCCTATCGTAGTTGACATGTGACAGCCCCGCAGATGGCGAGCGTCCCTGGAAAGTAGTAGACGTTGACGCAGACCCGGGAAAAAAAGGTCCCGTTCTCTCGTTCCGTATTTGTGATTCCCGTGCCTTTTTCGTCTGGTCCGAGACATTGGGCTCTGACAGCACCTAGGTGACACTCCACAGCACGTCATCACTTCCGAGCTTGCGGCCACGGTCAATCAACAATAGTCCCAGGCCGAGCGCCATGCAAGCTTTTTGGCTTCTTATCCCGTCAGTCCCGACCTGGCCACATGGCTAAATGGTTTTGGGATCTACAAGCCTCAACGGGCTGTACACACTACAGGTGGGTAGGAGCCCCCGTAGCCATGACGAGTGTTGACAGAATCGACACTGCGACTTCTGTTGTTTGGGCCAAGGCTGGCCCGGCCCAATGAGCGTGATGGAAGATTGCAAAGCAGTCGCATCTTGGTGACTACATATATAATGTTTCGCAATCCTTGAAGGATGTATGTTTTGGGAACCACAAGAGTGAAGATGCAACAGCTCAATTCCTCCCCGATTTCGTCTACAATTTAGTCCAAATGGAGATGAGAAGGATAAGCAAGAGCTCCTCTGACGAAGCATTGCCCTCACAAAGGAGGAAGCCCCGAGTAAGACGGGCATGTGACGAATGTCGTTCAAGAAAAACGAAATGTACCGGCGAAAAGCCCTGCTCATTGTGCGTCGATGGTGATAGAGGTCCGTTGCACTTTTTTTCTGTCCGAGCGGAAGACTGACAGTCTCTCAGAATGCACCTATGATCAGCCACGATGTCTAAGGGCTTCAATGGCCGACTATGTTCGGGCGTTAGAGACGAAGAATAAGCGCTTGACAGAGCAGGTCAGCGACTACATGCCAGCGGGTAAGGAAGTAGCCGATCAGTCAGGGCCACGTCGACCGTCACCTTCCTCGAGTGGAGAGATGGAAATCCAGGAAGACGCCTCGGCGGACGGTTGTCTAGAAACCATGATCGACGGGACCGGCCAGCTCCGACAAGACAGGCGCGGAAGCTATAGCTACCATGGCCATTACGCTGGCCTCACACTCTTGGAACGAGTCCACGCATGCTGTCGACAATTTGTGCCTGCCTTGACCAAGGATACTACTTCTGAGATTACACAGATATTCGACCAATCGGTCCCCTGGTGTAGACAATATCTTCCTACCCGGCCGAAACTACCGGAAAAGGTTCTCGCTCGGAATCTCGTCACTGTTGCTCTGAACGATGCTTGCTGTCTCATGACCTTTGTGAATAAGGTAACCTTTGATCGGATGTTTGAGCGCATATACAGCATTGATAGAGATCACTACCAGGAGGCGGACTTGAGGTTTCTCGGGCTGTTCTATGCAGCGCTGGCGGTGGGATCTCTGTTCATCTTTGGCCAACAAGACAGAAGTGAAGCCAACACATCTGCTCAGTCAGTTTACCCCTGGGGCGTGCCTTAACGCCTTACATCTGACCTTCCAATAGTCACGCTTACTTTCAAATGGCTCATGCCATGATCGATCCAACCCAGTGCAGAGACCTTGCGACAATTCAAGCTATCATCCTCCTTATCATGTACCTCCAGGCTTCAGGGAGACTGTCCCATTGTTATTCATACTTAGCACTGGCTGCAGGGTCCGCTACACAGATGGGCATTCATCGGAAACATACCCCTGCCTCTTTCGATTCCGCACATCTCGAGACGAGAAAACGTGTGTACTGGACGTTATCCACGATGGATGTCTACCTTTCCAATATCTTGGGTTTGCCACGCACAATGCCGGAAAGCGTCTGTGACCAAGACTTGCCCGGACAGTCTCCAATCGAGTACGCAACCCAAGCGCAGCATAACTCGATCAAATCACCTTCTCCTCCCTTGCTATCACTCGCCAATCACCACATTGGACTTGTTCGCATCATGTCCAAAGTAGTTGATTTCTTGTGCCCTACGAGCGTCGAGGCTTCGGAACAAAATCGATACCGCCGTGTTGAGGCCATCAAACTCTCGCAGATCGAAGCCGAACTAGCTCAATGGTACAGGGCACTTCCTCCGATGTCGGAAGAAATTGGGTCCAATGGATACGACCAGATATGGTAGGTTGTATGAACCAGGAAAAGCTTAGTTTGGTGACTCACGCGTTTATAGTATCCATCTTCGCCTCAGGCTGGCCTACGCGCACGTTCAGCTGGTTCTCTATAGACCCTTTCTGCACCACATCATGGGCAACAAACCAAAATCGAAAGCAGCGATGAGGTCGTACGCTTGTGCATCCTCATGCATCACAGCAGCTATGCAAGTGATTTGGATAGTACGGCAACTGCACCAGCGCGGTTACGCGGTTGCTCCCTACTGGCTGGCGCTTTTCATGACCTTGTTTTCGGCCCTGACTCTCGTTATGTTCGCTCTCAGTAACGAGGGCGGCGCAACGGTGGATGAGGCATGGGAGGCTATCAACTCCGCCGTGTGGTTGTTCACCGAACTCAGCAGTACCAGTTTCATCGCCGAGAAATGCGCTGCTGTTTTGAAGGTACGTTGTAGATAAACACCCCAGTCACAAGGCCTAGCTCAAGGGATTTCCCACTGAAAAATATGGCTTGTAGGAGTTCACGACAAAACAGACCACATCGCCAACACATACAGCGTGTGAAGACGACCTCTCAATCTACGACAATGGCTGTAAGCCTCCATCTATCTTTTCCACCAGCAAAACATACAACTTAAGGGAGTCGCAGAGCAGTGACACTTGGCGCATAATATCAAGCTGGACAGATCAGTTGTCCGATATTGCTACAACTTGCTTCAGCCCTTCCGCGGATCTCCTGGATATGCTTGACGTCGAAGACCGGACTGCCGGTATGCCCCGCTTGCCTACGAATGATACCATCAGCGACGATAGTCCCTGGCTCGACGAGAGCCTGGAAATATCGACTGAAGCCAGCCTGGCCATGCAGAATGACGTCCGAGCATTTTGAACCATCCCGGTTCTCATTTCCGGCTCGCATGATGCAGTGACGAGGCGCGAGGCGAGCGCAACTTAAATGCTTATCAGTTATGATTTGAGGCTCTACGAGCGCTTGCAAGAAAGATCAATATTACGCCAACCACGGAGCCCTACTAGCTGTCATGACTCTCTTTCTAGTTGACAAATGCGTTCAAGCTACGGATATCGAACATCTTCTCAGGGTCTGGGGCAGCCTGGATCCCTGAGGTCTATGTATGTCGGTATGCACATAGGGCTCTACGGATTTATTGGCCGTGTCCGATGAACTTGTGTGGCCGGCTATTACGTTGAGAAGCTTCGTTGTGGTGTACCTATACAACTCAGTCACAGTCAACGATAAGTTGGGGGCTCCTGAAATGCTCGCTTCTACAAAAGCTGGGTCCAGTGACCGTTGTCTATGCCAGGACTTGCATTTTCACTCTAGCCTTCAATTTGTCCAGATCATCCCAACTGGCGACAGAATGCCTTCAGTGACCACCTGCAGTGACTGATCTGTGTCGTACCATTCGACCTAATATTCTGCTATCTTCGGGACAATGCTCGGAGCTCAGATCCTAACGCAGACGTTAGACATTAGCTCTATGAAAGCCGATCGTTCCTTGCACCATATCACCCGCCACAAGTGTTCAAAATTTCACCCCGCCCTGTCACGTGCGGAGGTTCGATCCTCGCACCGCAGCTTCAACGCAAGCTCTCCCTTTTTAGTTGGGGATTTACCAAATGTCAGGGAGAATTGTTTCTGAGACGTCGACGGAACCACGAGACAGATTTGGGCGTGGGCTGCTCAGATTGATGCTGGCATTTGTCGGTCGATAATGATGGCCAGGCAAAAGCCAAGCAAGTCTATTATGGTCTTCTGACGAGCCAACTCTCCGATATTGCTGCATCGTGCCTTGCCCCTCCTGCAACCCCGCTGGATGTGTCTCAGGAAGGAGGCCTGCCTGACGTGGTATCATTTGGCACCGAAGGCGCCGTTGGAAGCGACGATATCTGGCGACAAGCAGGCAGTATCTGCGGAACTCATATCAATCCACCCCACACGACATTTCAGCCCTTTGATTCCTCGCCATGGTGTCCTTTTGTTACATTGCATAAAATAAGTCCTAACCTGCAACTGCTGCTGGATTTCTGCGGCGAGGTGATGAGTCATGCACACGTTGCTTGTTGCTCGCCCATGGACTATTCCTCGGTCGTCATTACTGTCAAAGAACAGACCGACCCTTCAGGAGCTAAAATTGTGGGTTTCCCGGAACCATCTTCTTATACCAGCGATAAGTCGACAGCACCTTTGGTATTGATTGAAAGGGTGTAGAGCACCAGATGAGCCCAATAATAGTAGTTCGTATCGATTACCGAGAGTGCTTCAGTATATTTGACCGACAATAAGAAGAAAAAGGTGCAGTAGGGATGGAGGATGTGCATGCATGACCTTTCTGGGGTCCACAATCGATCTAGCTATGGAGGCAGCATTGATTGAAGGGGGGCATTCGTTCACGAGGTCTTCTTCCCGCTCGAAGGACGCGGGTGCTACTTGCTGCGCATTATACTATATGCAACTTGCAATCTGCAACACCTTTGTAAAAGGCTTATATCATGCTTGGTGAGTCAAGGGACAGCCAGCATGGACTAAAACAATCACGGACGCAGGCAGTGATCATATCAATCCTCGTCATGAAAGACTCAACCTTGTTCCAGAGGCAGGTCGTGGCAGGACCAGGATTCAGGGGATATCCACTGCAGGTTGTCAGTAGCAGTACGGGATGCATCGTCTCTGCGTGGAGCGGCACGTGGCACTGGACTATTAGCATGTAAATGAAAGGAAAGACCAGCGCAGTGTTGTCGACGACAAAGCGGTTTTCAGCCAGTCACGAGCACAGAAATATTCCCGGCCATTATATGCGACATACCAACATACATTGATCCTGACGATTCCGTTCAGCCCCTGTCCCATGTTTTGATATGTGCCTTTACGTAACGAATGCATCAACAAATGATGTATCCAAAGCCATTTGAGGCCTCCGCGGAATACAAGCTGTACTAGCCCGGGAAGCCGCAGAAGGACACTTCGGTGATCAAGTCAAATGGCAAGGGATGTCTGCTGAGTCGTTCACCCTGACCGCCACGCCCCATAGGATCTGCGATTCCCATAGGTTCAAATTAAAGCACTTTTAGAGCTTGCGTTCCGCGGAACCGAGGAGTTGGGCTGATCCGGGTGATGAGCGCCTACGCTAGCGGTAATTCGCGCTCCTGTCGCAGCAATCAGGGATGGTGTTTTGTTCGCCAGAGTTTGGAGAGGCGTGTTGCTGGAATGACATTAGACGCTCAAAATGAACTGATAGAGTGTAGAGTTCGTTCTTTGCAAGTCAAAGCCTGGACGGAATCACACCAACTTTCATTCCTGTCGCGGCCGAACTTCCATCGCCTGCCATGGTCGTGCACATTGAGGTAACATTCGTCAACGGACTGACGCACGCTGCTAGCAGAGAAGTCTATTTTCTGGGAGACGCAGGAATTGATGGCTATATCGCTCTGAGCGATCAGATCGACTTTGACTTCGACAAAGTCATACTTTCTTTAGAAGGTTTATGCCTCCGGCGCCGGTGGGCGTGACCCATTCAAGCCGCTTACAAAGGTCAGGAATCTTGATTAACACTATCCGGTATTCAGGCTGGTATGCAGAGACTCTTTGCCAAAGGGCGCAGAAAGTACGGTTGGCATCCTCAATCCATCCACCTTCCATACTGAGCTTCATCCTAGCTGCTGCAACTGAACGACGTAAAGAGAGCTACAGATTTCGTTGGGAACCAAGGCCAAAGCAAATGCCTTCGAAAGTGCTTTTTCCATTTCGACATACCCAGAAGTTTGCACTACGAGCTTTTAGGCCAAAATGACGGATACCTTCGAGATCTTCCGGCGTCCTTCCCACGCGTCACGCGCGATAGAAGGACAGCTCTGCTGCGGGAACGTTGTGAGGGAGATTGCAAAGTTGCATATATGCTACACGTGCAGGTGCGCGCTCGGGACGAGGTGGTAGCAAGCTGCTCGCGTCCTGTCAAGATCATTCCCACGCTGGAGTCTCGGCCGCCTACTTGTATCGCAGACTTTCCGGGTGAATACGCTCTGGCAAAGTCTCGACACCGAATTCTACCGTTACTGGCCAAATACCATACCAGGGACTTGCTGCTCAAAGCGAGTGAACCGGCACCGCTCGTTTTGGGTCACATTATGGACCCTGTCTCATTCTCCACCACCTTACATCTGACGCAAACGAGTCATGCACGGACAGATCGCCACGAAGTGAAACCACGGGACGCGGTCAATTGTCGATCCACCTGTGCCCTAATGTCCTCAACATTTATATCAAGCGTCCCGCGACAGAGTGCTCCGACACTGCTTGACCTGTCTACTTCGGCCACATTGAGTCGGAATTTCCAGATCTGCGCTAGAACGAAGGCCCCAGTATGTTTCTCGAATTGGAAAGAAGTCACCTATACTTTACGTGGTAGGAGAATCCAGGAAGCTATCCTTCCTTCCACTAATAGTGCAACAGGCGAGAATGATGCCTGCAAGGTCACCACACAATGGGAAACAGAAGCCTCTGTGGCTCTCGAGTTCGGCAACAACAAGGTCATAGTTCCCAGTTTCGAATCTTCCTTGCTTTCTCAACGTTACAGTCTCGACCTTCATGTGTGGATAGCGGAGTCAAGCCGTTCTAGGTTCCGCCTGGTTTTGCCGGTGCAGATATCTTACGGCACCAATACAGACCGTGCTCCTCGGAGGCTTGCAGGAATGGATTGCCCTACGTATTTTGTATAGGTTGCCCTTGTTCGTCTCCGCTAATTGCAACATGTTGATTTGACTACTCCTCGATGCACCTCACTCTCCATCATGGTTTCCGTCAGGTTTTGATGCAAGCAGGAGTGCCAGTACCTTAGCGGGCCTGCTTCTTCGGAGCGTATGTAATGCCCACAAGTTGGAGCCCATCCCCACAAAAGGGCTGCCAGTACATACTTCTGAATCAGGGGATACCTGTCTGCGCATATCTTTCTATGATTCCTCCGTCAAGTTTCAAATACCTGCGATGCATCAGCCTTGATCTGAAGTCCTTGTCAAGCAAACTCTTTGTTTCCGTAATTCCACATGAAGCAAACACCGCTTATTCTGCAGCGAGATTGACCCGCGTCTTGAAGGTTAGGCTTGGTAAGCCCCCACTGTATTCGTTCATCCTTGGGACCGCGGAGTCAGTCAGATCCCAACATGTAACCACGGGAGACTTTGCGGCCTGTCTTGCCCGATTTCTAGGCCTCGAACCAGACAAAAGGGGCACGAGAACCACAAATACGGAACAAAAGAACAGAATGTTTCTTGGGATCTGCTTCATATTGACTTACCTCTGGGCATTATACACTGTGATTCCAGCCTGCCCAGGTTGGCACTTGCCTACTCCGACAGACTGGCTGAAATTGGCATGAGTTCCGACAGAGCACTAAGAATGAATAGTATTGTACTTTCCGGATTCAAATGTCCACTTAGGATTCAGTGCGACCCAGTGCAGTTTAACACTTAACGCCGAAAGTTCCTGCCAAGTGCAAATGACCTCCCATTGGCCAGAGAGGGACAAGGGCGTCCATTGGAGACCGATTTCCCAAGCTCGGCTGACACGGTTGACGTTTCTTTTGCGGCTCCGCAAGTACGGGCGTTGCAAGACGTGACCACTTTTCTGCTGTAGAGGTATGCCAGCTTGATGGGTACAAAGACAAGGCATCCTTCCAAGAGCAGGTCATTAAACATTGGCTGCTTGAAAAAGATAGTCCTTTGACAAACATTTATTGTAATCATGGTCTTATCGCCCTCATCTCAGACATGAATCATTCCATTCAGTTTACGCCATGGTTAACAACGCCGCTGGCAATGTTGAAGACCTGTTAAGCTATTTCCCTTCACAAGCAGAAGCCGACTGGCCTGTATTCGGTTAAAACACCGGTAAGCCTGGAACATCACGAGCCACAACTACGTCAGCGGAGCTGTCGTTTGTAATCGACATTTCGGGCACGGCCATCTTTCGTTTCCCCAAAGCCGTTTCCCATAACCGACAGTGACTTCTTCCCCATCCCAAATATCCCTTCTAGCAACGATTGCGAGTCGGTATTTACCCGACACCCTCTTGCCCTTGAATTCGACAGTGGGCTCGCAGTCATGGTTCATCAGTCTGAAAATGTTACTGATCTCAGCGCAGTCCACCTGCGCGACCACAGGCTCGAAAGGGAGGTCATCCCTGAACAAATGCATAACACCTTGCCGTCACGGATAACTGCAGAGCGTTGACCGGTAGATTGTTTCGGCCTGATGGAAGCGTTAAGCTTGCCCGGAGGGTATTTACAGTCTCCTCGTCATGCGTGTTGGCGTTCAGGGAAAAAGCAGTGAGATATGCAAGTACTGTACATAAGTCCTCTCTCTCTCACACACACTTCATAGGGCAAACACAAAGAGGCCTCCTGGACGAGCCTAAGATGCTCTTGCTGGGCACATGGCATTGTTGTGATAAACTACAAGCAGGCAAGGGAAGTGGGGTCGCAAACGGGCGATGATTTGCTTTGTGAGTTTTCCGGGGCGGCTGGTTCCCTGCGCTCTCATTGAACCGCTTCAATATTCCGACCCCCGAATATGAGCGTGCGTTCGGACACCGCACCCACCTGTGCAAGGATACTGTCACTGTAATTCTGATGATCACGTAGATCCGGAAGAACTGAAGGTATTCAGCATGCGGCAACGAGGTTCTTCTGAGGGACGGTATCGACACAAACTGCGGCTCTATGGTGATCTGCGCTTTCTTCATATACCGCTTTCTCTGGATGAAGATCATAGGTACGGCAAGGCTCTGCATGTCGATTGACTGCAAGTTTCAATTGTCCCTGACTTAGTGCCTCAACCGGTTCCTATCGAGTCTGGTTGCGAAAAGAGACATCCAAGCTCCCATACTTCTTGTCATGCCACGTGTCGTCCTTCAGTCGCAGTCCCACGCTCATACATAGTGTTATATCACTTTTCCCCGTCAAAGGTAGTGTTATTGTGGGACGCTTCAGGTGATTACCGCACCGCAGAAGTGCCATCGTCCGCGGGAAGGTCGCCCTCACCCTCTGGGTCCTGGTAGGTGCCTTCTGGCTTCGTCGCGCCTCGAGTACGGCCGCCCTTAAGAATGTTGATTTTGTCGATGGCTTCCTTCTCGTCTTGCTCTAGACGTCAGTGTTAGCGATATCTTCATTCAAGAAGAGGAAGGTTCGACGATCAGTGTACCTAGCGCCTGATTGGAGTCAGGGTTGCGCGCATCGTTGGGTTGTTCCACAGGAACTTCATCCTTGACCACGGGGACCACCTTGTCGTTGGTTGCATAGGAATTGTCGACGGTGTCGCCACCTTGAGGGATGTCGTCGGTGTCGGTATTCTGCTTGTCGAATGCTGCGTCGGCGTTGGTAGACATGATGTTGGTTTGTGGACGGGTGCAGCTTTTGTGAAGATTTTTCTCAGTCAAGGGTGGAGGGTGAAGAGAGGATAGATTGAGCCACGGAATCTTCTGGCTGCATGAGGACTCTAAACATTTCCGGGCCCGAATGAGAGATGACATCAATATGTCGTCACGACAAGATGAATGACCTTTGCTGGGTCAATGTTCCAACTATCAGGAGCAAACAGTGAAGTGCCTCGGAGTCATGTCGTGTGGAGATACATCCAAGTAGTATTGCAAGGCTGGGAATTTGAGTGCCAGAGGAGTACCAGTTCCTGAGCCTGGAGCTCGCGAGATGCATAATTTCCAGCCACAAAAGAGCAATGTTTCGTTATTTACTTGCTATTTATTTGTCGAGGTAATGTGTAGAAGGCTTGTGGCCTTCCAGTATCAGCACGAAGTTGAGCAGCTTTGACTGACTGTACAGCATTCCCATGAACAACATCAAGCTTGGTCCAGTGAACCACGCGGCCTGTCCATGATGCCCTGCAGGGCCGTCCCTTCTCCGCGAGCTGGGTATTTGTAGACTCCATCAGGAACTAATCCCTCCTCTTCCCCTCAGCCTGACGTGGGAGATTGATCGCAAGGTCGAAGAGCAAGCGCCGGGCTATGCTGCTGTCGGTGCAAGATGCACCTACGTTGGAGTAGGAGGCTCAACTCTCCATGGAGGCCAGAGCCGGTTGAGTTCAGATACGGTCTTGCTAGTGACCCACAAAATCTGCTTGATGCTCAGGTGGTCAAGATGGATGGTAGCATCATCTGGGCTAGCGAAGAGCCCTGACCTTCTCTGGGCATTGAGGGGTGGCGGAGGAAGATTTGCCGTCGTGACCTGCGTTCAAGATGAGCGTTTACAAGTATCCCTCGTCAATATACTGTGGTCAGATTGTTTATCCGGCCGAGGCACTCCAAGATGTGGCTCGACAGATTGCTGCATTCTGCTCACGGTGTTCTGACCCCCGGCTGGCGCTGCATTTGTATTGCTTGAACCTGAGCATGGGCGCTTACGCGGGCAACGAGCCGAAGGCAGGCCTGGTAATATTTGTGTACGATGCTCGTGGTGAAGAACACGGGAGAAGGGCAGATGGCTTCAAGTGGGCGCTCGATATGAAGGGAGCAATGGCCATGACCACGTCTGTGAACCTTCGAGGGGTCAACCAGCAATTTGGTAAGTGTCAGCACGCGATCGATGAGGTGACGGCTGATAAGCACATGCAGACAGCCTGAAGACCATAATGGGTGTTACAAACACCTGGCAATGTGGGGCTACCCTGTTTGCAATCGACGAGGATTTGATATTGCGGACCTGGAAATGGTCCGTTGATCTTTTGCAAAAGGAGCCGGGACTGGCACGGAGCACATACGTACTGGTCGAAGTGATGCAAAGGGTGGATAGCTTGCATCTTCTGGTCAGCTGGGGAGTAAGGTCTTGTTCTCACAAATTCAGGCGGCGTACCAATCTCTGGGCTATCCCAGCAAGGAAACTGCCTGGCCACATACGCGGAACCAACATAATCTCCAGTTGGGTGCAGGTAGAGGGCCTGGATCCAGGGAAGGAGACGCCTTGGGTCGACAGGCGATGGCAGAAGGGCCATATGAGATTGATCCCACACATACCAAGGCCGACTATTTTCCAAACTCCCTGGACGACTATGTCGACGCAAAAGAGGTAAGCCGTGTACTGCTGTCAAGAGAGAAGACCGGAAACTGATGCCTCGACAGGTTTTTGGCGAGAATTGGACTAAGGTTGTTGAGATCAAGAAGAGATATGACCCTCATAACAAGCTTGGAGGAGTCTTTGCAAAGCAATAAACCTGGGCTGTCGAAGCAAATCGTGTTTGTTTGTAGTAAGATGCGGATGTCGTCTGTTGGAGTCTCATCTCATGGAAATGCCATCGCCCAATGATAGTGAGCTGCGGCTGCGGACAAAACACCACTTCGATGATTTCGTTCTTCCAAGATCCTGCCATTCATCTCCCATTCACATGCATTACATGGTTCAGCGTATAATTCCTCACCAATAAGGTTTGCGTGCCGGTTTGGCCATCGTTGCGGCCACAAGACATCGACGTTGAGAGGTCGCCTGCCTGACCAAGCGCACCGTACTTTTGCAGAAGATTCCCGCTCCCCATCGTGAATGCCCTTGCAATCCTTCAAGCTAATATATCTAGACCCTCCCCAGCGAGCCTGCTGAACTCGAGATTCCCGTGCCATGCCTGAAAGAATCAAACTTCGATCTTTGATCCTCGCTGGCGGCAAATCGTCTCGGATGGGCTCACCCAAATGCCTTATCCAGTTCCCTCGAACATCGGGCACCATTCCTCTTATCCTACAGACAATCCTATTGCATCACGAGTTCCATCGGCGTCGTCAAGAGCAGCAGCCAATCACCATCTCTGTGAAAGATGAAGAACAACTGGAAGAGGTTGAAAATGCACTGCAGAAACATCCAGATAGCCAATTGCTATGGCTTAACTACGTCTTTGACACAATACCTCATCAAGGGCCAACTACCGGTCTTCTTGCTGCACACGCGTCAGATGCAGGAACGCACTGGATGGTGACTGGGTGCGACTATCCGTTGCTCGAGACCGAGGCTCTTCTGCAACTCGCAAGCGAACATGACAAAACGCAAAACGCAATCACCTGCTTCCGAAATTCTGATGGCTGGACGGAACCGCTTCTCGCGATTTGGGCTCCTTCTGCTCTTAAGCGGCTCCTCGAAATGTCTCTATCAAACAGTCACATCGGCCCCAATCGCGTCATCAAAGCTTTCTCAATTGACGAAAGGGATGCTGGATCAGAGTCCACTTTCTCATCAGGGGTCTGCACTGTGCAGCCTTTGAAGGAATTCTGGACCCGGAGCGTGGATACTAAGGAAGATTGGGACGAGGTTCGAAAGATGTTATATGCTGCTCATGAAAAAGATGGGAAATAGTGGACAATTGCTCACACCAGTACGCACCCTAGCTCGGCCTCCATGAGTGCCTGGGCTGCAATCGCCGTTCATGAGTGCTTGACCGGGGACAATGGATGAGCCACCACATTATCGCCTTGCACCACTGAATGGACACCTTCGGGCACTTCCACCCAACAATCGGCCTGTACAAGATTGCCGACTTTGTATGACGATTGCTCTTCCAGAATCTCTACTGCTGGCCTCCCATTGTGTCCATTCACGACCTTGCACCATCTTGCAAGCCAGAACACCCGCAAGTGCTCTGGCTTTCTCCGACTTGGAGACATTCCAGAGCTGCATTCCTGACCGGAGTCGATTGTGTGCGACGTGTCGCCTCTTTGCTCAAAATGAGCTGTGCATACTATGGAGGGTATCAATGGCGATTCTCCACGAAGGACCGTCAGATACGGCATTACGAAAAATCGAAGTGCCATAGCTGTAGCAAGCGGATTCCCCGGCAGACCGAAAACAACAGTCCGCCGACGCTTTGGTATTGCTCCATTGAGTTCGTCCAACTCAACCCATGCGAACATAACTGGCAGTCCTGGTCGAACGTTGACACCATGGAAAATTACCCTTCCTCCCAAGCGATTCTCCACGACCGGTCTGACCAGATCAAACTTTCCCATCGACACTCCACCAGTTGTGATCAGGACATCGACTCCTTGCCTAAGAATCGCGTCTCGGAAACTTTCTTCTAGGGCCGCCTCCGTATCTTTGACGACACCCAGGTACGACACCCGTTGACGAGGATCCAATTCACGAAGGGCGGTACAAATGTAGGGACCGTTCGAATTTGGGAGAGTTTCTTCTGCAGCTCGACGTCCATCGACTGGATAACCATTCGATGGCAATGCATTGAGATCAATTAATTCCGACCCCGTGGAGACGACGCCTATCTTCCATTGTCTTGATTTCTCCAGGTGTCTCGAGTCCAGTTGACTGTGAGCTGCTCCATCCTCTGCCACAGCTACTTCATTGAAGCCGAGGCTGGCAAGCGCCATGATATGCTTCGGCTCAAATTTTTGACCGGCAAGGACTATCCGATCTCCTTTGACGATGTCACTAGCTGCGTCCCTCTTGTTCTGGTTTTTCCGCACATGTGCAAATATATCGATATATGCTTCTCCTTGACGCTTCCAGGGGTCTGGTTCATGGCGGGCCACATCCTCTACCTTGACAACAGCATCCAGCTGGGGATATGTACGGCGTGGAAATCTAGCCCCAGTCATTATTTCGACACAGATGTTTGATGCGTGCGAATTTGTTCGTCCATCCTTGGCGCCGTCAAGGTCTTCCTCGGCATCGACCGTGTCACCCGCGGCAATGATCGATACTACTCTTAACCTGACGGGATGCTTGGGCGATGCATTGGCAGTCAAACTTGAACAGACTGCGAAGCCGTCCATCGCGGACGTATCAGCCTTTGGTGTGGAATGTGGCGCTTTAATGGTATGTGCCGCAGTCTTATGAAGAGCATCCATCAGGGGCATTATTCTCACTGCTCCGGTCTGTCGACCTGCAATGGTTGTCGTTACGCAGTAAGCCCCCTCAGCGGCTTGGTCGTCGTTTTCAACATACGAGAGTTTGGCCTTGATCTCATCCGTAAGAGGGTGATCGTCCGAATCTGCTAACTGGCGATGCTCCTTTGCAGTCGACATTGCGCGGCTGACAGCGTCCACGTACTTGATGGGAGCATTATGGCTTCTAGCTCTGTAGTCCGGCTCTGCTGTTTGCTTCGTGTAGCAATGCTGCGAAGCGGAAATGCACATGTCGTGGAGCATGTTTGATCAGTCATCCACTAAGTCGAGCGAGGGACTTCAAGATGAGCTTTGAGCAGACTAGCAGATTTTGCACCACTGGTCCATACCTTACCGCTTGAGAATAGTGAGGAGCGATTCTTCCCTTTCCGTAGGCTCTGGCCGGTACAATAGTCCGCACATTTTCAGTGTCCTGGCGTTTTCGAAGACACACGCAACGTGCACGTTCTCCGCGGACAGTGAGACTCCTATTGAGACTGTCGCTCACACTGTTGCATCCTGCGCGGGCCGTAGAAGTTTGCGGATCAAAAATTCCCCACATTACCCAACACTTGAAGCTGTCTGAGCGCATGTTGACATCACAGGTCGGATCGTCGTGATGTCAGGGCATGCCCGACTCGACAACACCTACGCATTGACTCAGGCGTGCTCTGGATTTCCTGTCCGGAGTGGGGAAAGTCTCCCAATACTCATTGCAAATCTGTAACTAAGTATTGGTTGGACAATAACGTTCGGCCCGCGGAAGTCAAGCCACGGCCGGTTCAGCGGCATAGAATCCGCACTGGATGGTTCATCCTTCAGGAGGTGAGTGCCCATCCGCCGCCCTCTCGGAGGTCACAACAATCTTTCTCTGGGAACAGCATTCCAGCGTTGGCTGGCGCCGACAAAATGGTCGAGACACGGAATGCTATTGAAGATATTTGGGGAGAACGAAAGCCATATAAGCATGTCTGGCCAGACAGAGTGGACCAGTTCACGATCGAAGACCCCGAGAAATGGGTGCAAAGCGCATGTGTGATGTGCAGGTTGTTCGGGTCTTGCCTCCACAACGTGATCTTGCTGATTTACTTTGCAGCAATGGGTGTGGACTAGATGTTGGTGTCAAGGATGGTAAAATCGTGGGCGTCCGAGGAAGGGCAACAGATCGAGTGAACAGAGGTCGGTTGGGGCCGAAAGGTCTTTACTCGTACGTTGAGTTCCGCCAGCAACTAGGTTGTGGCTAAGTGCGACACAGTTGGCAATCCCTCCAGCACGCCGACCGCCTGAAATACCCGATGATTCGTAAAATGGGCAAGCTTGAACGCGCTTCGTGGGAGGAAGCCATGTCATTGATCGTCGAACGTACTCGTGATGTCCAACGCCGATTGACAAACCATGGCATTGGCTTCTACACAACAGGTCAGCTATTCCTCGAAGAGTATTATGCTCTAGCTGTTGTCGGAAAGGCCGGACTGAATACCCTACATATGTTCGTTGGACCACTTTCAGATATGACCATGCCGGCTAACATTGGCAGGGATGGGAATACTCGACTCTGCACGGCAACTGCGGCGGCGTCGATGCGAGAGAGCTTTGGATCAGACGGACAGCCTGGCTCGTACACCGACATTGACTTTACTGAATGCATCTTCATGGTAGGTCACAATATGTCGGCAACTCAGACGGTCCTGTGGTAAGTAGACTCCTAGAAGACATCCGCTATATATATTCCTGTTTCGGCCGCGTTGGCTCTTGCTTCTGACTGACATGTGGAAGGTCGAGAATCCTGGATCGACTGGATGGGCCGGATCCCCCAAAGCTCATCGTTGTCGACCCCAGGATGTCGGACACGGCCAAAAAAGCAACACTCCATTTGGCTCCAAGAATAGGAACAAATCTTGCATTGTGAGTGGTATACGTGACTCGGCCCCTGCTAGTGGAAGACTGAACCCTTCTCGTAGGCTCAACGGTATTCAACATTGCCTTTTTGCTAAGAAGTACGTCAACGAGGACTACGTCTCGAAGCATGTTGTTCAAAGAAAGGAGCTGGAACACACTGTCAAAGAATACCCCCCTCACGTCGTGTCATGTATAACTGGAGTTCCTGAAGAAGACATCATAGCCGCTGCGGACATCCTCGGCCGTACCAAGTCACTTTTATCCACAGCTCTTCAAGGAGTTTACCAATCGAATCAAGCCACCGCCAGTGCTTGCGCAATCAACAATATCAATCTGCTCCTAGGTCACATCGGCAAACCCGGCAGCGGAATCTACCAGATGAACGGCCAACCTACAGCGCAGAACAATCGTGAAGCGGGCTGTGATGGAGAGTATCCTGGCTTCCGCAACTTTTCCAATCCTGATCACATGCAGGAACTGGCTGATCTATGGAACATCGACTATATCCGTGTCCCGCACTGGAACCAGCCAACTCATATTGAGAATATGTTGAAGTTCATCGCCGACGGCTCAATTGAGATGTTCTGGATCAACGGAACAAACCCGCTTGTTAGCCTTCCAAATCTGCCAATGGTCCGGGAGCTTTTGACAAAAGAGACCCTCTTCGTCATTGCACAGGACATATTTCCCACGGAAACGACTGCAATTGCAGACGTCGTGTTACCAGCGGCCGCCTGGGGCGAAAAAACTGGATGCTTTACCAATGTCGATCGGACTGTGCACTTGTCCAAGAAAGCTGTTGAACCGCCTGTAAGTATCCGCATATTCCGTCAGAAATGTTTCGGCCCAGAGCTTGTTCTTACTGTCTTACAGGGAGAGGCAAAGTCCGACTTCGAAATATTTTGCGACTTCGCCAAACGCATGGGCTTTCGAGACAAGGATGGGGAGCCCCTGATCAGCTGGACTGATCCTTCTGAAGCCTTCGAAGCCTGGAAGAAGCTGTCAAAAGGTCGGCCCTGCGATTATTCCGGACTGACCTACGAGAAACTCAGTGGCGGTTCGGGCATCCAGTGGCCTTGCAATGACGAATTTCCCTACGGTAAAGAGAGATTATTTGATGATGGGAAGTTCTTTACCGACATCGACTACTGTGAGTCATTTGGGCACGATCTTGAAACCGGTGCTCCGTATACAAAGGTAAGAGGTCAAGTTTGAGTGCCACGCAGGTCGCTAAAGTTATTGCGTTTCCTTTCAGAACCAGTACAAAGCGATTGCACCGGCAGGACGTGCGATTTTGAAACCTTGCCATTACCTGCCGGAGATGGAATCAGTCGACGACGACTATCCATTGCAATTATCCACAGGTCGCCGACCACTTCATTTCCACACCCGTACCAAGACAGGCCGAACACCTCGGCTCCAGCAGGCAGATCCGGAGCCTTATGTCCAGGTCTCGAAAGAAGACGCCCGGAAGTACAATATCAGCGAAGGGGACCAGGTTCTCGTTGAATCACGTAGGGGTAAGGTCCAGGTTGGCGCCAGGGTAGGTCTTATGGCGCGTGGGCAGGTGTTTATACCTTTCCATTTCGGATACTTCGACGCGCACGATGGGAAAGCAAGAGCAGCCAATGAACTGACAAGACGTGAGTGCTTGGCCTAGGTACCAAGTCCTGACTACTCTAATTCTGAAATGACCAGACCAATGGGATCCTGTCTCCAAACAGCCGCAATTCAAGTCTGGCGCAGTCCGTGTCACGAAGATCGATCCATCTGATGGAGACCAACTTCGAGCACCTGAGTTGCAGACAGCCGCAGTGCGGACTAAAGAGGAGCACAATCAGAAACAGGCTCGTGAAGCCGGATCCGAGAGAGGAGACGAGCCCACTGAGAGATTTCTCGGATACTGGTTGGGCGCCACCTTTGCCTCGATCGAAACACTACGTGACATATGCGACGATCTTATACCGCGCATTTCGCATGCGGACTATGAGATAAGCAGTGGCATGGTTGTAATGCATCGTATCATCACTTCTTGCATCGAGCGATTGGGACCGTTTACTGTCGAGTATCGCACTGAACATCCATACGGCCAGCGAACGTCGTTGGATCTCAAGAAGAGGCTGTTTCCGGACGTCCTGGCTGGTGGCATTTCTGGTTCGAATGCGTACGACATTCTCATTACCTTACAGAGCTTTTATCTCTTCCTGGGTCATGTGGAAGGCCATATCATCACCTTGGTGCCAGCAGCGCAAGCGAGCTGGGATAAGGAGTTCTTTGAGGCGGTCAGTTTTGTCAACACTCAGATCGGTAGAATGTATGCTTGGACGAAACAGCAAATGGGTTCAAGAGGTCCACAGGCTCTTTTGGTACCTGGCAGAGCGGCGGTCGAACTTAAGGACAAGATCTCGGATGAACTGGCTGAAGACGCATGATATCTGCCGCTGACTGGAGACACATGAGATAGAGATGCGATATTGTCAAGATTCCTTGTCTTGGTTCGGTGCCAGCCTTGTTGTCTTTTCAGAGGGGTCAGCACCGAGTCAGGTCGTTTCCGTCCTGCGCTAGACTTTCAGCTTGTCCACTTCATTGTAAGGATGTTTGTTTGCATTCTTTTGCTTGCCTCTCTGCATGTAAAGTTTGGACCCGCCACTTTTCCTCAGCAGAAAATATTGGTTTGCGTCGGTTTGATTTGGATTGATACAACAAAGACTAAACCGTTGGCATTGCGGGAATGATGCTAAAGCCGAGAATACGCGTAGGTGTGCTGTAAAGGTAGGTCACACCGTTCTCATGTCTGCTGTCACTTGAAACTTGGTTTTCTGCCCCATTGCCCCTAGAGGCGAGCGTAAGGACCTTACTGTGAGCTTTTTATCCATGGTGCGCCTTCTATATTATCAGTCATTCGGTCAGGTCTCAACACATTCACTATCTATATATACATATCGCTCGGACACGGTACTACATGTGCATTGAATGAGAAGGCAGCGACTTGTAGTAGCTCACTCCCATCAACGTCGGGCGCATTCGCATCGATCCGCGAACATCCTTTCAAGCATTCGGCTCGGTCTCATTTTTTCGACATACTCTGCAGTACACAGACTGGCTTCGAAAAGGTCTGGCGTCCATTCCATCCCCAGCTATCACATCCCTTCCCACAAAGCAGTCATGGACTTCGCCGGACCAGAACTAGAGCTTCAATTAGGCGAGGAGCGGCCAGATCCTTATCTCCCAGAGTTCACCAAGCTGGGAGAGCAGCTTTTCCTATATAGGCCAGCAACAGGAACCTCTTCGGAACCACAACCGTCCACAGTCGGCCCGACCTAATTATAATATATTCCTAGATCGGAGCCCAGCCACGATACAACAATAAGTACACAAAGCCTTATCAGATGATGTATCCTTAGTCTCTAATCCTTCTACTCCGACAAAATGGAGCAGACCTATTCTAGCGACCACTGTTCCTGCAGCGAAAAGCTATATAGCCTACTCTTGCGGTGATACAGCAGGTCGGGGACGAGAAATGGCCGGACAAGCCCAGCGTTCTCGTTCACATATTTTCGAATGGTGGTTCGTACACAGCTTCGCAGTTTATGGCTGCTTACCGAGACTTTTAGCCAAACAAGGACGAGCTACTTCCGATATCAGCATTGGTTCTGGACAGCACGCCTAGCTTGCATCCTCAAGACCTGCTTACACCGCAATATCCGAATGACTGCCCGAATCCGGTCCTCTGCGGGCCGTCGGCAGTGTGGTAGTATGGTGATACATTGGCATGGCGAAGACGATCGAGAACACATCAGGAAGCGACAACACCACCATATGGCTCCGGACCGCACTGGGCTCTTGCCGCCTTTCCGAGAAATCCCATGGAGTAGTGCCAAGGCGCTAAAATGCATTACATCTTCAACGATCACGGTTCGAGTCCAACTCGGTTCCCTCGAAAAGCACTGTCTAGCATGATATATCCTTCTCGACTGGCGTCGCAGCACGTAAGTTACCGAGCTACACGCATTTGCTGATATGCTTTCAGCGAAATATGGTTGACCTTTCATGGCAGTCGACTTCAATTTTCAACATTAATGATCAGAAATTCTATGAGGCGAACACCGAGCGCCCTCAACCACGAAACTCAGGAGCTATTTTGCACCGTCCCATGTCTAAATTTAGCGGTACGCAAAAAAAGGGAATTGATGACGATTCCCGATTTCTGGCTCCATCAACTGTCAGGCCATAGGGGCCCTTATTTCTGGTCCTCGTAAGTCCCTTCTATAACCTTTGGCCGATACGGCATATGCAATCCCGAAGCCCCGTTAGTATATATTCCATAAAACGCTCGATTCCTAAATGACGAATTGGTTCTGATATTGATTGGCTTGACCGTCATCTGAACCTTTATTGGGACCGTCAGCATCGAGCCATGCCCTCCTCCGAAACCCCTCCACCTCAATTCCAACGCCGTCTGTGCCTGCATATGCCATACCGGAAAAGACTTGGATCCAACGGGCCATCAATTGACGGCATGGCAGCGTTATCGAAAATCACAAGTTCTGAAAACGGATCCTGGTGGGAATCGATGTGATAACGGTCAGACTTTTTCACCATGGCCCAGTCTGGTTGAGTATAATGGGGACTGTCCCAGAGGTGTGCTGTTCGTGATAAGCTGCTTTCCCCAGCTTGGTGGCCGTGGTACGAGTTTCCGTACGGTATTGGATTTCTTGGTAGGTGCCACGGTTGCAGAACGAAGTCCTGCTTCATCTTTGGGGTTTGCAACCGGCCTTGGAGAACATCAACAGGCCGGTAGTAAGATGCCAAGCCAAATTGCGCCAGAGCTGTCATTGCTTTTGACAGTGATGGTTTTCTTGACCAGGCTTTCGGGGTTGAAGTGCGAAGATTTCTTCAATAGGCCAGACAGCCGTTGGTGCCCATCTTCCGAGCCATCCTTCACCAGCAGAGGTGCTTTGTCAGTCTTCGTGGTGAGTGATTCATTTTGTGCAACTGATCGCTCTGCATAGATGAGAAATCCACCCAAGACGCGACTCGGGCTCCAATGCCGCCCATGCGTTGCAGAACATCTGAAGGGGAATCTGATAATGTTAATAGAAAGCTAGAATACTCAATACCTCAAGTCACCTTTAGCAGCATTCTTATTGTCGGTGAAAAGGAAGAAGACACAAGATGTCGTAATCAGGTATGAGCAACGAACTCAGAAGGATATTGGATGGCTTTTAGTTGGAGTTTCCCTTGCTGACACTGTTTTAGTCAGCCTGAATCTTAGTTACGGATCTAATGAGAGCCATGTTTCTGCCGTTGCATCCAGTATTTCGTAGACGAGGGAGACTTGCCTCCAACGTTCCTTTGACGATCATAATCACGATGGTCTCGTAGGTAAAAATACAAATTCCTAGGCCGTCGGGTGTCTGATCTTCCCTTCGGAGCCTCATACTGATGCCCACTCCCTCACAGGAGGTGTCTGCTGATTCACGAAACATTCCGTTCCTGTAGACCTTCGGACCCTCTATGCACTGCGAGGACGCTGCAACCTGTACCGTTTCAAAGCGTTAACCCATCGTCTAGACGCTCTGCTTCCATAAATGCTCCAGTTCTATGCCCATCAGGTAACTGGTTGGTCTGGCTGGTTGGTGATGGGGGTGCACAGCCCTGTTGTATGGAAGACATTTGCTCTTCCGTCATCACCGCAATTTCCACCGTATTCCAAGCCTGACTGTTTGTCCCCTCTTCCGCCACGGGCCTTTCGTGATGCATTGTCACTACCACTCAAACTCTCAGGTCTCATCTGCAGCTTAGAGGGGTAGTTTTCTGGTGCTGGGTCGTCAACCGGGGAGGTGAGGAGGTGAGTTGATGGTCGGCTCTGCGGCGAATCTTGTAAGGACATTTGCTATCGTTGTTTTGCAACTCGTGTCTGCCTTCTTGCCATCCAAGGCTGATAAACCGTGCAGCCAGGCCTGTTCGTGACTCTGCACGTTCGTGGCATCTTTAACAGGGAAGCTCAGGTGTCGCAGGGAGAGCATGCGCTCTCATATCGACCGTGCTACGCCAAGTCAGTTTCATGGGGATGATGCCTCTCGGCCGCTGTCAAAAGTTGAGCGCAGCTCTAAGTGGCAAAGCCTATCCTCGAATCATTTGGGCTGGGTCCGGAGTCACCACGTGACCTTGCGAAGAGGCGCTTACACCAAGATGGTGGGCACATGTAAGCATTCCGGTCGTGAGTACAGGAATACGTCACTCCACCCACAACTTCAACGTTGATTGGCATGAGGTCTGATGTTGCCTTTCGGAATCTCACCGTGCGTAACGAATCTCAACTCCAAACCCCAACCGTCCCTTGATATTTGGTTGAAATGTTCAGAACGATAAGTACTGCCTCTCTGAGCAGGGCGAGGACCAATGCATCCCAGAAGTCCATTTCCCACACTGAATCCGCCGTCGAGCGCGAGGAAAGAGCACTTGCAGAACTCAAAGAACTATGCCGCAGAAATTCTGTAACCTGGCCAAAGAGCGAACTGGTGCGAGAATATGCCCCGGATGACAATTTCGAGGAGTCAAATCTTTTGTAAGTGGAGGCGTTCTATTTTTCCAGGTTCTACCTGGTGGTGGTCCAGCCCCCTTGGGCCTGACTTCGACCTAGGCGTTACTTACGAGCACGGAAACACGACGTCCATACCGCATTCAAGCAATATGCTGCATCGGCAAAATGGCGCCATGATATCCAGCTAGAGAAGACTTATGATGATGTCGGCATCACGAGATTTGAGACTGTCAGACGACTGGTACGGACCAACGCTCAGCTCCCGTTTAGCAACGCAACAACTCAGACAGATAAATCTAGCAACCTCAATGGACCGGCCACCGAGATGCTACCGGAGTACCTATCATGGTATATGTCGTGTCTCAAGTCGAAGCAGACGACATCCTTGCATTGCATAAGACGGACCCGGCATTGTCAAGTATCTTCCTTGCCGCCGAATACGTGACACAATTTGTGCAGCCATTATGCGGAAAGTTACAGCACGAACGTATCAATACCTCGATCAACATCATCGATTTGTCGCACGTTGGGGTGTCACCTTTCTGGAGGCTACGGAAGCTTCTTAGTACTGCTAGCAACATGGCGACAGCTCACTATCTAGAGACCGTAAAAAGAATATATGTGAGTGCGAACATTTCTCGATGTTCCACTCTCCACAAAAGGAATATACTGACTCTTACTACGTTGTGCCACGCTGATCACACCGAAATAGGTCGTCGGTGCTCCGAACTTCTTCCCTACTATCTGGCGATTCATAACCATCTGCTTTGAACCTGCAACCACAAGAAAAATAGCAGTCCTTGGTCATGGGGAGTGTGCAACGATTTTGCGCCATGACCCCGGACCTGAAAACGTGCCGAAGCGCTTTGGCGGGGATCTGTACTGGGAATTTGGTGGCTCCCCTGAGCTCAGTCCAGATGCTAAGTCGTTAAGCAAAAAGTGGGTTGACAAATGGGTGGAGGGTCCGTTGCGGATCATCGACGGTCCTGGTGAACAGTGGAGGATCATTGCTGTAGGGTCACAGAATGGCGAGTTAAGAAGAGAGGAGTTATAGGGGGCCAAAAGAGTTATGCACCTCCACAAGCCAGGTGGGAATATGGAACTACCCTATGCTCGGCTTTTAGCTTGAGTGTTGCAATATATGGGATCTCCATTATAGATTACCTGGTTCGCTTGTTTTCGCTTGCTATTTCTCTTCTAAGTGAAAGTCATCGAGCCAGGACTGATCGCAGTCGTGCCGTGTCAAAATATCATGGTCATCAAGTTTCAACAGAGGCAATCCTTGTGCGCGACTCGAATCCTCCAGCAGGTCAAATAAGCTTCCGCCGAGAGCCTTGTTCAGCTGCCGCAGAAATCGTCCTTTCACAGCCTCTATTTCGTCCAACAGTGTTCCATGCTCCGATGTTGCCAGGATCTCTTCGAAACTGTTCCCGTCAGCCGGGTCTTCCCAGAAAGCCAGACAAATCAGTTATACTCACATTCGGTCATTGGCTAGCACGTTGTTCTCCTCAATGAACCAGTCTCGGGTCACCAGCCCTAGAGCTGACCACCCGAATTTGTCGGCGAATTTGAGCCATCGTTGGCCGGCTTCGATCTGTTTGCTCAACTTTCTTTTGTAATGGTTCCACCGAACGGCATCAGATTCGTCGGAATCGATAAGGCCACTCCTGTTCTTATTCCTCCCCTGAAATCTAGCAGGAAAAGCCACGTCCCAGATATACTGGATCAGAGACACATAAGCCGCGGCCTTGTATGCCTTGTTTGTCGATGTCCGTAGCGACAAGCACGTGCCATCCTTGTCGTGCCCCAAGCGACCTCTGTTCGCGACCGTCTCAGCATACAATCTGGCCAGTCGAGCCAACGCGAATCTCCGTAGATAACTGTTCAAGTTATCCGCTGAGTCGACACTATTGACGGCATTGACAAGAACTTTAGGATCTTGGCTGAACACTCCAGCCATGGTGGCTCTTTCATTCCGCTGAATGAAAGTCATTACCTCTTTCAATGCTCCAAAGGCGTGCCCGTTGGCCACGGCCAGCACCATTTTGACCAATGTATTAACACGACCGGGAGACACGCCTTGCTGAATCCTGCCACTGGACGGTGCGAAAGGCAGGGACGTAAGTCGCTGCCAAACTCGAGTAGCTTTGATAGGGTGCTTCGCATGGTTCTCCTGCTGTGCATAAGATCCCCTCTTAATATCCCAGTCATACCAAAACGAGGAGTCCAAGGAAGAATTCTTCACTCTTGATTTAGAGGACATGGACCGAACTTCCGACTTGTGTGCGTCATCAAATTTCGGTCTTTTTGTTGGTGTCTGTACTGGAGTGGCAGGTCGGGGTCTTTTCCTTGACGACCTGCTCGTGGGGTTTTGTAAAAGGGACGCTCTTCTCAAGTTTCTTGGGCGGCATGCCCTGTTTGTGCTGTCGTCCTCCTCGACCTCCTCCTCCTCCTCCTCCTCTTCGTCGTCTGAGTCCTTATTCTTTTCCACGCCACCTTCTTCTAATTCCTCTTCGTCTGTAGGCTGCTCTACATTCGCTTGTATCTCGTTTGTCTTCCCGCGCTGTCTCCGTGATTCTTGTTGGCCGCGTTCCCTTTCGTCATCGTCATCGTCATCGTCTTCATCATGATTATCATTAGATTCCATCTCCGAACTCAATTCGCTTGAGCTAGATAGTCCTTCCACCAGGTTTAGGGTGCCCGGATTTCCCGTATTCAATTGCTTACCAACCTGGCCTCTACTCGATCGTTCAATATCATCTGCCGGGAGCGAGACAATAAACGCTCCGCTTTCCTTACATATCAGAGACCCGTCGACGCCTGCTGAAGAAGGGGTTTCCGTCTCGAGGACCGAGCAACTCTCCAAGGACCTTAGTGGTGGTTTAATTGCAGGCTGGTTTATATCAGGCACGGAGTCGTCTGAAGGGAGCTCATGATCTTTGTGAAAATAAGTGTTATCTTCAGTTATGCTGTTGGTTGAAGAATACCCGTGTGTCACTTCTGGATTCACGGCAACTGTGAATGAAAGAGCTCGAAGAAATGCTTCAGCGTCCCTGCAAATAGCATGGACAAGCCGCGAGGAAGTCGGATACTTCTGTGACAACAAAACGCCGTCATCCGTGAGACATGAGCAATCATGCAAAGTCGTCGAACTGAGCGCAGTGAAAAGGAAATGTTGGAAACTATCGCAAACAACATGGCCGCTACGGGAGGGAATGCCATGATTGTCATTAGGCGAGGAGTCCCGCAAAATCATTCCGCCGAGCGGCTTCTCAGCCAGTGCTCTCGTTTACGATTATCGTGCGAAAGGTGATAGTAGAAAGAGGCAAGTCCACTGGCGCGAGATCATTTTAGCGTGTTTCAAATACTAGTTCAGTTGGTCGAGACCGATCAGATTCAGTGGTCAGATGCTACCGAAGGAGCTTGTGGTTGGTACAGCTGACCGCATTTCTGCGTGGTGTCGGAACCTGTTGTCTACACGCCGACCCACGATTACCATACAGTCTCCACTTTTGAGACACAAAGCCCTTCCTACTTCCACAGTTCTACGCGGAAAATTATCCTCGCCCTTTCGCGCGCTCCTCCGTACATGGGTCGATGTAGGGTGAGCCATTGGTCGAGACCGCATAAGACGCTTTTCAGATGTTACAGGCTCTGCAGGGGTTTTATCTTTGGCCAATTGAAATTTGAGCAGGGCTCTTGGATGAACGACAGCCTGCGGGATGGGCAACGTACCACTGCTATCCAAGGCTTCAGTCGGGTGCCCGAATGTGACCTAGCATCCATATCTGCATGATATGCGCAGGCTACGCGGTGGTCGCCTGACGCCTCTCCTACTATGCGGAAAAGTACTGGCCGAACAACAGAGCAAGCCCTCCTAGTCCTAGCAATGCGATCGATCAAGCATGGCTGAGAGGTAGAGTGGTCACATTGATTGCATTCGACCTGAAAGGAGCATTCAATGGGGTCAAAGCTACAACACTGGATGCACGCCTCCGAGAGAAAAGGATACCCACATCAGCTAGAAAATGGATCCAAAGCTTCAGCAGGACCGGACGGCAAGCATCCATGTCGACGGGTTCTCAACCAAGGTCAGCCCGCTGAAAAATCCTGAGCTAGCGCAAGGCTCGCCACTCTCGCCTATTCTGTTCACGCTGCTCAATTCAGGCTTGGTGAACCAGGAGGTGGACACTCAGGGGGGCGCCTCTGCATTTATCGATTACTATTTCCGATGGAGAGTAGGGAAATCGGCAGAAGAAAACCTCCGGAAGATTCAACAAGAAGACATCCCTCGAGTCACGGAATGGGCGCAGCTAAAGGGATCAAGCTTCGCGGCAGAAAAGACGGAACTGATTCACCTCACCCGACGCAAGAAAGAGCGAGCGAAAGGAAGCATCACCATAGATGGCAAGGTTATCCACGCCGGCCGTACAGCCAAACTCCTCGGGGTGGTATTTGACGAAGAACTACGGTGGAAAGACCATGTGCAAAGAGCGGTAAAGGCAGCAACCACTACGGCCCTTGGAATGGGTGGACTGAGGCACCTACGGCCTGCCCAAATGACGCAAATATACCAGGCTTGCGTGTTACCCAAGCTGGACTATGCATCAACCGTGTGGCACAACCCCAACATGGACAAAGGACATCTCCGAATTCTCGACACCGTCCAAAGAGTAGCCCTCCTCCGGATCATCTCAGCATTCAAGTACGTTGCAACCAGGTGCTGGAGATAGAATGCCATGTGCTTCCCACACGCTTGAGACTCAAACAGCGAGGACAAGAGGTGGTGATGCGATTATGCTCTCTGGCTCAAACACACCCACTTTCCAGAGTTGTGGACCGAGCGAAACAACGGGTAAACCGACGGGGAACTCAGCCCAGACTGCCTCTCGCCGAAACCACCAAAACATTGGACATTGGAGAGCTTGAGTCGTTGGAGACCATAGATCCAACCCCCCTCCCACCCTGGACCCAGTCAGACCCAATCGAGATCACAATCAACCCCGATAGGTCACAGGCCCTTGACGAAGTGGCTGAATTAATCGAACACCCAGAGGCCGTCATCTACAGGGACGCCTCAGAGAAGGACTCGAGACTCGGCGCAGGGGTGGTAATGGCGAGCCGGAAAGGGGGCCCACAGCGGACGTGGCAGATATAAGAGAACTCACACTGAAACGATTATAATGCTACTAGTTCGCATGATAGGTAGACGTCAACAACAGGCTAGACGAAAGACATCTTCTAAGAGGCGAACATTACAGTCACCGAAATCTCAGCCAAACATGTCACTGTTGAACAGTACATCTCGTCGCACATATTCCGGTCAACCACAGTGTTTATCATTGACGTCAGCTGAAGACGTTATCCTCAAGCGTCATTTACTTTACAAGTATGGATAACGAGTCTCGACCTCTCGACGACGAACTACGTTTACACCACTTACTTGTCAAGAGTGCAAGCACCTCGCAAACGAGTATATCCCATATATCTCGTTGGGCCGCTTCCAGCCTATGACGGGTTCCGCCCACAACGGATTCTAAGACCTAATTGTAATGATCCCGAACTAGCCAAGGAGTCAAAACAAGTTCATGGGTAATGAACAGGGCAGGTCAAAAATGCAACATCAACCCCCTCGCACAGGGAGGGTCATATCGAAAGGATGTGATTCATTCATAGTCGAAGGCACCTAGGCCCTCAACATTATGAGAAGCTAATGCAAAAGCGAATATAAAGTGCTTAGCTTCTCGGTGCCCCCTCAACCCTCAAGGGATGCGCGTGCCCCGGACCGAAGAATTAGGCTCCTAATGGCTCGCCTAGGGGGCACCAACCTGCCAGGCTCACTAGGCTAAGCGACCATCAGAACTCAAGCACTAGAACGATGTCACACACTCAAATTTTAATTAACTCAAGGGTCGGGTTCTAACTTATAAAGGGCTGACAACGCCTTCTTTACTTCTCTGTTCCGTTAGCCCATTTTCTTCGTGAGTCGTTTATTTATCGCCGGGTACGAGCGGATTCAGGGCATCACCGGCGGCAGCCAAGCCGTCGTGAAGCAGTACGGCCCCCTGTCCTTCTCCCGGATCTTCAATTCCGGACACTCGGTCAACGCATACGCCCCGGAGGCGGTCTATCTCATCTTCGAGCGCGCGACGTTCGGCAAGGACGTTGTGACGGGCAACGAGACGGCCGGTCCCCGATACTCGACCTCCGGGACTACGGACAGTTGGGGTTGGCGGAACACTTTGCCCGCGTCGGTGCCCCGGACGCGCATGGTGGAAGGGCACTGGACCAATACCAACCCTTAGGACTCCGTTCCCGGGGCAGAATCATAGTTAGGGGGAGAGGGGTGCAGATGATCGGTTCTGGAGTCGCATGGACAGCGAGTCTCGGTGGGGTCTGATCAGCGTTAATAGTGAGACAATTCCCGCTCGAGCGTCTGTAGGCAGGGGTTCCAGTGATTTGATATTCTTGGGAATGAGGAAATCTACTGTAGTGCTTCGTGCTTAAAGGTTCAGGAAAGGCAGCGCGGGCCGCTTTACCCGGGCACGTGACGGAGCACGAAAGAGACCCAGTATAGCTTGCAACCGGACAAAGCGAAGGGGATTACGGGAGTAAGGCTGAGAGAGACCATGAGCTGTATACAAACTCCAAGGTACGTACAGAACAATACAAACATGTGGGTAGTGATGCCAGTTCATGACAATTATCAACATCTGCTTTGTCACAGAATCAGTCAATACCGATGCACACCTTACCCAAGTTCTTTCCGGATTGTAAATACATATACGCTTCTTTGACCTCTGCCAACTTGAACACTCTCGAATCGACGATAGGCCGTAGACTCTCGACATTTGCCTCAATGGCACGTCCCATGGCTTCCATCTGTAGCCGACTGCCGACTGATATCCCTCGCGCTGTGTAGTGTTTGAGCCAGACGCTCAACAAGTTCGGAACCTCCACTCCCTCAGCCTCGCCGCCCGCAAATCCAACCACACTCATGGTTCCGTCGAGTCTGAGGCTGGCAACGCTCTGCTTCAGGGTGGCAGCGCCGACAACCTCCACAACTAGGTCCACCCCATTCCCTTTTGTGAGACTTTTGGCCCTCTCGCCCCAGTTGGGCACCTCACGGTAGTTGATGATGTGGTCGGCGCCGAGCTTTTGGAGGAGTCTGGCTTTCTCGTCCGAACTGGTAATGGTAATCACTCTAGCACCAATGGCTTTAGCAAATTGCAGGGCAAAAACACTTACAGCCCCAGCACCTTGGGTCAGCACCCATTGGCCAACCACAAGCTCCCTGCCGGGCTGCCCGAAGAGAGCGTTCCAGGCAGTGACACCGGCGCAGCTCAGCGTTGCCGCCTCAAGGAAGCTAAGACCTTGAGGCATTTGGACGAGTCCCTGCTCATCGAAGGCCCCGACTGAGCGCAGTGTGCCGTCAATCGATCCACCGAGCCCCGAGTCTTCGGCGGCAGCGTCGAGGGACCCGGCCAAATGCCGTTGGTTGAGCATTGTGACCACACCATCCCCCACACGAAACCGAGTCACATTCTTTCCGACTGCAAGAACAGTCCCCGCCCCATCTGATCCTGGTACCACGTTGGGTTTTTGGTTGAACGGATATTTCCCCAAAGGGATGATGATGTCGCGAAACTAACAAACATTAGGCCTGCCGATGAGAAAATCAGAAGCAAGAGCATCGCTTTACGTTCAAGGATACAGCACGAACTTGAAGCCGTTACCGTCAGTAATTGTCTTCGACAGAACAGTGCAATACTCACTTTTAACTAGAACTTCACTGTCGCCAAGCTCAGGCACGGGCTCCTCTATGAATTTCAGGGAGTCGAACCCGTCGTAGCCTGTCACTCTCCACAATTTGGTCGTTTTCGGTATGGAATCACCCATGTTTGGTGAGTATATAAATCGGAACGTGACTGGGATAGCTTTTAAAAACGAGCTGCTAAATATCTAGAGTGATATTTACTGTAAGCCGTAAAAGACTACTCTGCCCTCGTCAACCCGTCATATCACAGCACCATTTATACATGCGAAAAGGGGACTAAATGCTTGAATGCCAAGTTTCTTTTCTGACTTGTTAATGAGTATATGGTTAATCATTCTTTGAATTCAGATCGAAAGGACTAATACTGCGTCACAGGTGGGAACTTCCGTACAACCCCGGATTCCTCCGCGGAACTCAGCAAGCTAAGGAACATTAGGGTAGCTTGACGTATCCACGCACCTGTGAATGCCTAACAGTACTTACAGTAAATTTTACGACTTCTAGGCCAGTATTCTAGTCTTCTGAACCCTATGCTTATTTGCCAGCCAGGGGAAATGTAACATACATCATCTTACATTATGAGGTATCTTAGATAGCTTATGTAAGAAACATAGCCTATCTTAGATCACGTGTTTCCGGAAAAGTAGCAATTAAGCGAAGACTGCCACCGCCCACGGGGTGACTTGTGCGAAGTTCCACGGACCTATACGGTCTTTTACAAATGTACATGCACAGGAGCATTAGTAATCTAAGTATCAAGTGCGTCAATCCTACAGGATTCTGCGTTTCGTTGAGAGATATAACGTCGTCATGCTGAGGTCTCAACGACACCGCAGACATTCTGTACCATAACTAGTTTTCTTGACATAAATACTGGACAAACTCACACGAAGACACGGTAAAAAGGACCCACCAAGACTGAAGCTACACAGTTCAGAGAATAATTAATCCATAATGACGGTGGAACGGTACGAGAACAACGATGAAATCAATACAGGACGCCTACGGGAGCCTCTTACATTTCACTTCTCCAAGAAAACGGCACGCAACCGGCTATTCAAGGCTTCCATGGGAGAAACGCTCGCCAGTTGGGACATGAACGATCCTGAAGCCAGTGGGATCCCCACCGATGAAATCATCGAGTTGTATAAAAGGTGAGTACGCCTATGCACACCTACGTCCAGGTTAACAAGACTAGTCCGACTACGTCGTGGGGTTCATATTACATCAGCTGATACTCAGTCTTTAGGTTTGGTGAGGCAGAAAATGGGTTCGGCATCATCTTCACCGGCAACATCCAAGTCAGCTCCACGGTACCCCAATTGCCGGGCGACCTAATCATCGACGAATCACACCCTTGTCACGGGCCACGATTCGAGGCGTTTAAGAGGTTGGCTGCGGTGGGAAAGGCCAAAGGCTCTCTCATGATCCCACAGATTTCCTATGCCGGGCGTCAGGCTCTGGCTTCTGTTGCGCGAAAGACGGTCATCGCGCCGTCTGTTGTACCGTATGGTAGGTCATTCTGTCGAAATATCTTCTCACTGTTCCTTAATTTGTGTGACAACTGCTGAAACGGGTCATTTGATCAGCCACCGAAGAGCAGAATGCCATCTTCGCGAAGACCCGCGAAGCAACCCAGACAGATATCGATTTCTTGATCAATGGGTTCGTGCATGCGGCCGAGTACTTGGAAGCAGCAGGGTTCGACGGGGTGGAGCTACACGGTGCTCACGGCTATGTGCTCGGCCAATTCCTCGCTCCGCGCACCAACAAGCGAACGGACGCTTACGGAGGCTCGTTGACGAACCGGATGAGGTTGCTCGTGCAAGTCGCCAAGGGAATTCGTGCCAGGACCTCGCCATCCTTCATTGTCGGCGTGAAGCTCAACAGTGTCGAGTTTCAAGATGGTGGATTTACAGCCGAGGAGGCAGCAGAGGTGTGCCGCGTGTTACAGGATGAGGTGGGCTTGGACTTCGTCGAGTTGAGCGGCGGCACCATGGAGAAAGTCGGCCACGAATGGACCACGGACACAACGATCAAACGCGAAGCCTTCTTCTTGAAATTCGCTGCGATGATAGTCCCGCAGCTGGGCAAGACAGCCCAAGAGCGCCGCACCAAAGTGTTCATCACAGGTGGCTTGCGCACAGCTTCGGCCATGGCTATGGCGATGGAAACAGTGGACGCAGTCGGCATCGCTCGCCCCGCGGCTCAAGAGCCATGGATTGCGAGAGACCTGCTCAGTGGAAAGGTCCAAGGGGTGGTCAAGCCGGTGTAGCCAGTTCTTCGTCCGAGAGTCCTGCCACGGTTTCGGCAGAGTAGATCGATGGCAGTGGGCGAGTGATGTGACGCTCTATGACTTGCCTACAGATGTTGTCGACGAAGGTCTTGAGGGCCACCTGATTGCTTCAGTCTTGGGTCTTTAAAATCGCGGGACTCGTACCTTGTAGTAAGCTCGAAGTCCTGACAGTGCCTCAACACACGCTTGTTCGGTCATGTTGACCTGGACTCGTTGCTGGAGACACGCGATGAACCGGCGGGGGAGGAGTAGATGTAGATCGAGGTCATCCATCAAGTCCAGAATCTCCTGTGCCTCACCTTGCCGAGGTGTAGCACCGATCTCGTCGCCACCCCATAGTTGGTCATGTCGATTGAAGTCACCGGTGACGATAAGCTCTCGTCCGATTCCGTGCCGTCTGACCGCCTCTCTGATCAGTCGTGCTGTGATTTGAAGCACTCGTGCGTCTGCCGGCGGCAAATAGACTGAGATGGCCAGGGATAATCGCCCGTCCAGCTGGAATTGTATCGCGGATATGTCTGGCAATGCGACTGGTACGCTCCTCGCCTGGCGCTCGGCGCTGGCGTAGACGACTGATCGGATTAGAAACCGCGTCCCCACCGCTATCTTCGTCGGGAGGATTTGTTCCCAGCTGAGGTGACGTGAGGGTGGAGCGATCACTCTCCCGTCGTCGCGGGTAAAGCATGCCGGTTCCATGATCATAAGGAGCCCATGGTTTTGCAATCCTTCGTCGTTCATCAGGCTATGTTGTACCCCCGGTCTTTTACCCAGATTCGCTTGGAGGACCCGGAGTGGCCTAACCATGACATTGCACAGGATTGAACCGGCGAAGCAGCTCCATGTACCGTGGACACGCCCGATCAGTCGCCGTGTGTGGCCCTTGACAGGCCGCGCATCGCACACTGTTGGCGGTGCACTCCTGCCACATACCACTTGGGGCGACTGGCACCGAGCTTCCTGGTGGCCGTATTGGTGGCACTTGTAGCATCCCGTAGGGGTATGTCGTCTTTCATACGGCCGCGTGTACGCCATCTCCCCGCCGACGTGCATGATCCCTCTCGCCAACAGGGCATCAGCCTCGTGCTGGTGAGTCAACAACATGACTACCGATCCATACATCTTGTCCGTCGCTCGGCTAAGCGGATCCGTTCAATTTGTACGTCGTTTTCCTGAGCCACCACCCCGTCGCCTCCTTAGACACGGCCAAGCCCCCGTCCGGGCTGAGGGTGGCGCGATGAACACGATCAACCTTGACCGGGTACCATTGTTCCCCGAGCATGCGGGCTTGGTCGAATCGATTCTCTTGGAGCCACTGGCCGTGTTGTCGCGCTGCGTTGGCATCTCCTCGGACGCGAAGGAGAGCTTGACCCGATCCTCCTCTTCCGCTCGCCTCTGCACGCCTGTGCAGATCACCTCTTGGGTTGGTTCATGCTTTTTCAGCGCTTCATTAACTTTGTCTTTCAGCTGTGAGAAGTCCCTCGCGCGTTCGCCGGTCCGACCGAGATCATTCACAATGGCGGTTTGCGACAGATTGGAGGGTTAATTATTCAGTGCCATGTTGACGTATCTCGGCCTTTGACTACCCATGACGACGGTATTGTCCGTGAAGATGGAATACAACAACGGGAAGTTGCTGCTGCTCTGGGACCTGGCCAGCCGGTGTCGATATATCCTAAGGCCTTATCGAGCCAAGATCTGGCTCAGAGCAAAGAACCGCCCAGCTCCTTCGACTCTTCGAGGAACAAAAGGAGGAAGCGATATACCGAAGAGGTCGAGGAATAGCCGCAGCAGCAAGACGGAGAGCCCACAGCTCAGCTTCCACTTGCTCTTTTAGGCGTAGTCCATTTCACCAAGCCCAAAGGTCGCAACAGTAAGTTCCCTTCTTCCAAAGAGGTATACACTGGCGTGCTGAGCAGTATTTCTCCGTTACCTAGTGGTGCATCTATCGATCATGTGATATGCGACCGACGAATTGTTCTCGAGGGCTGTTGGGGCACGATTCGACGTCAGGTGGCCGGGATGTTTTATTTGGTCTGAATCGGTGCATAGGCCCGAACAGTCAAACATTCAACTTTATACCACGTCCTCCGGTCGACGATGTGGACGAACTGGGTCTCATGAACGATCGGACATTCGACCTTGTGCCGCCTTTTGCCGTTGATGCTGCGACCCGCCAGATGAATGTTTCGTTCTCATTTAGTACTAGTACTAGCCGCATTGCCATATGTTGATAGTGTTGGTGAGCGATCTGTCTTCGACAGGAGAACCACAAGTCACGAGGCCGGCTTAGAAGCGGCTTCAACTTGCCCCCTAAGCTTAATCGCTTTTCAAATCAGGGAACCATGGTAAGATACCTTACTCCAATCTCCAGCAAAATATTATTGCTCACTTCTCATGCATCCACACCCACCCCTTGGAAACTCATCTGCGTGTCAGCAGAGACAATTGATCTTTGACGGCTTACGGAAGAGTCGAACTCGAGGATCTGCATTGTTCAGGAATGTGATGACAACGGCAAAGCTTTCGAAGTGGCTGTCGATCCAACTTACCTGTCCGAGGTTCAGGAGCTTCAATCGCAGGAAAATCCTCCTTACAATCCTATACACCCGAGAGAGCTTGAGAAAGACATTGTTGGTATCTGTCGAGCGAACGGGAAAGCTCGCGAGCGCCAGCTCGAACGGGCTGTCGATGTCATCTTCTCCGAGCATCGCCACGAAATCAAGGAAGCCTATGGCAATCTTACTAAGCTCCGAGGTTTGCAGAGAGGACTTGACGGAAAGATACTAATCCAGGACATATTGGCAAGTGATCGTTCCCAATCTTCAGAGCGTTTTCTGATGTATCTTACAGGGCTCTCTGGCTGCTGTCCGCCGAAGATTGGCAAAAGATTTTGTATCCTTGTCTCTGAATCTAGAAGCAGACCATATGTCTGCAGATGCCCAGATTTTTCTCGAAAGCAACGAATTCGTACTCTCACAAATTCACAAGCCTGGCGGTAGGTGTCGGTGTTGGAATGTCTTGGCACGTATTTTGCGCCCCCAGAAAGAGAGCAAATCACGTGGATCTGGAGAACCTCAAGCGCCGATGGTTTCACTATTCCACCCTTATCTTGGCTGTTAGCACGGTAAGCGCGAGACAAGATACCTATCACTCGGTTTCTGTTGACGCTATCATCTGTCATACTTGTCCTTTGGTCAGGGCGTGCACGGGCCACAAGTACATCGATGGAGTTGTGGCTCGTGCGCTCCAACTTTAATGTCACTTCCAATCGAGTGATCCCGATGCGAGCGACGTGCCAATGCGAGATCCTTAGGCTATAACTTGACCTTTCGAAAAATGCCTGCGTCCTCCCATGATAGAGGCGTCATGCTTCATGCATCTTCTAATGAGCCTATCTACCTTCAATCTTTGACGCCTGAGGAGGCAAATCACATTCACCAGCAATTTCACGATCCCCGTTTCCGCCAAACCAGGCAGGTCCTATGGACTGGAGTAGAGCGGGGACTGGCACAACAGTGGGTTGGTCAACGCGGAATGCAAACATTGACGATGGCCATAGGATGCCTGATGCAGCCTGACCGTCCATCCTGTTTAAAAACCAAAAAATCGGACGATGCGTGGAGTCGGTACGTGAAAGGCGTTTCGGCGATCTTCGCTCACTACGCGGCACAAGGTCAAACAATTACGGTGCTCTCACCACCCCCTCCAGATCGTTTTTATCCCTCCGGACGGACCAATTTCCAAATCATCGAAGAACCCATTTTGAAGGGGCAATTTTAGGGGTTCTCCCGTGGGGCGGATTGAGTTGGTCCATCCGGGAGTTCCAGGAGCAGGGGACTTTCGGTACGAATTGTGGCCTACCAATAGGGCGTTGTCATGGATGGAAAAGTTTGGTAAGGTTGGGGTCAAAAAGGTAGCCTGGAGACAAGTTACGTTACGTCTCTATCGACCGTCGGGGTTAAATTCTCGAGAGTTCATGAAATGTTGCGACACCTGCTCTGACAAGATAGCGCTGCAATTGAGGGATGGAAAGAAGTTGCTTAGTATTCTCAGTGAGTGAGCTATCTCGCATTGAAGATCGAGAAATGGTGGCAGTCAAAAAGCAATAACACAGACGCCAGCAATGCCACGTCAAAGGAGGCGAAGAAAGAACCAATACCTTTGAGAGTATCTGGGAAATTCGTGGCATCGATCACCTCGGCAAAGAAGAAGGAGAAGAAGAGTCAGGCAAAGAAGAGTCTTCTCTGAAATGCCTAGGTTATGATGTCGCTCACCCGACGACTGTAACTTATATACGACGAGCCTCGCAATTGGCGCAATGCATGCTGTGAGGTAAGAATGACCTCTTTCGATAGAAGCAGGTTAATCCTAGTTCTACGGGCAGTCTTTACTTTACGAGAGAAGCGAAAGCAGAATTGAGAGCATTGATTTCCGATGTCACGGCCACCACGCAGAGAACCTTGAGTCCGTCGCAGATAGAATCTTGCAGCTGCAAACCGGGCACAATAAAACCGTCGAGAGCATACCAAAAGTCTAACCTGACGGGAGATGAAAAGCGGGATTGAAGTGCTCTGGAACTAAGGTCAAAAAGACACGAGTTAGGCGGAAATAGAGTCACGCTGTTGACACACTCCTGACCCTGTGGTACATCGTCTGTAAGCTGACGTGATTTGCACAAGGAACGCGCAAGATGATGGGTCGGACCGGAGCCAGCGGTCTGTCAATGGGTTGCTACTGTACTGCATTGACCGCTACCGATATCAGTCATCAGCTCGACGCCTGCTTCGCTGTGAAGTTCGGTCGTCCTTTCTTCACGAGACGAGACTAGACTTTGTATTCGAAGAACAGAACGATCCGGGATGTCTGATATCTGATATCTCATTGAAGAGGATTTGACAGCCGGCTTTTTAGGATCTGGTTAATCAGTGGAAGTTGATTAACAAGCATGAGTCCCGGAACGGCCGCTGGAGGTGGCTTCGTCTTGCTGGCCATTGGATGGCAACAAGCGTGGTTGTTACACAGCCTTGCTGACGTGTCAACATTCTATTCGCGAAAGATCGAAGATGGATTGAACTGTCGATTCCACGCTGTCAAGAGGACTTTCAATTCGATTCCTCTCTTTCGTGCTGGAAAGCCGATTAGCACGCGCACCAAGGTCTAGTGGCACTCGAACGAGCTAGGGTGCCATCCACGTGCTATCATGCATGCTTGGATCCGGACCTACAACTCCGGAAATTTCCGGTGGGTGCTCCAGGAAATGCACCGCTCAGCTGGAAACTGATCGCCTCTTTCCAAGACGGATCATAGAAGTACATGGTTTGGGGTATCGCACCGTCATCACATGTGATCGATATCGATCACATGCTTTTCACTAAAGTTTTCGAGCGAAAAATTACTTATTCAGGTTGCATGCTCATAAAGTCCTCTTTGCAATCGCTGGCCGTAGATTACCTTCAGATCTAGTTTTCTCTCGATACAGCAATGGACAGTCCTATCAGGCTTTCGGTACCTGATGCAAGAGCAGCCCCGGCCCAAGAAGCGCTCGCTACTGGGCCTTTCCAACCTCTCGCTCACGCCTCTCCATTAACTGCTCTTCCTCCCTCCAGAAGAGTTTCTTCTGATTGTTCGGCTAGGACTCGAGTCAGCCACGCGTGCGACAGATGTCGTGTAATGCGTACGAGATGTTCAGGGAGTTTTCCATGTGACAAGTGCAACCATGATCAAGCGATCTGCATCTATGGCGACCGGAATAGTGAGAGGAACAAAAAGTCTATCCTCCTTCAATAGGCCAATGAACGCTCCATTAACATACCTATACAGGGAACTTGCCCGAAGTTTGCAGTATATTAAGGAGTTGAGGGTCAAAAATAGCTTACTCCTCCAAGCGTTAAAGGATCTCGCCACCAGTCCCAATTTAGATCTAAACGAGTCTGCGCGTGTTAACGACTGCATAAAGAAGGTCGGTTTCAGATTGACCTTACAATCCTGTCTAATTAACGTGGTTTAGTGTGATCCCGGGGTGCGGGACACATCTTCAATGACTCCAAGCACTCGAACCGATGATGGTTTCGGTTTTCCTACAAGCCCGAAGCAGACTCTCGCGGGTGAGCATAATGTCGATGCTAGTGTGGGATCGCCCGGTCGCCAGGACTTGCTGTCGCACAGCATCGATATCGGACGAGGTGGTGGGTCTGCAGGATTTATGGGGAAAGTATCCGAAATCTCGTGGCTTGCGCAAGCTTCCTCTTATCTGGTCACTTCGCCGGACAAGCACTCTGCCCGTCGAAAGAATGTGCCAGGTCAAGAGTGTATAGACTATTTGAACTACCTTATGGACGATGAAGATCTCCTGAGCATTGACGAGGACTCCGTAAATGCATTGCATTGGCCAGGTGATATGACGGCTCGAATACTTTCCGAGGCTTTTTTCCATGCTCTCCATGGTATATTCGACAGCATCGGTCGGCAGAAATTTCTGTTCAAGCTTCATCAATTTCCCCGTGGCCAAACGTCCCTTACGTGGGACCAGCGCGGATGGTTCGCAGTAACAAATCTTATGTGGGCCATCGGATCAAAGTGGTTGCATCCCGCATTGCTGATGATGACTCGGGTATCGAAAACCACCTGGTATACTATGCACGATCTCGAGCCTTAGGGCTGGACCATCGGGTGATGCCCGATCATATTGCAATGGGCAGTATCATGAGTACAGGACTACTCTCCTTTTATCTATTTACAAATGGGTCAATCACTAGGTACGGCTGGTAATTTGGAGCAGAGAGGTAGCGCTAACCAATGGTTAGAGCATGGTCATTGGTGCGCTTAGCTCTCAGAAACGCATCCACTCTCGGCTTACACCTGAAAGTCGTGGATACTGTACTGAGCCCGGCACAGCTTAGAGAAAGAGCTCGCACATGGTATGCATTGTATGGCCTTGAAGTAGCAATGTCAGAGGTTCTAGGAAGACCGCCATCAGTCTCTCTGGTGCACACCGCAATTCCCCTTGATCTCCTGGAAACTGATCCAAACGCCGATGGCTGTGGACAGCCCAACGAACTTGGCACAAGAAGTTCTGATTAACCTTTCTCCGTCGCTCACGAGATCTGCCTCAGACCATGAGAGGCCCGCAGATACCCTGGCAGTGTTTTGGATTTATCGGCTACGGACCGCCTCGACAACATCTCCGTCATCGGGCCGAACTCATTGTTATCAGCAGCCATGTTATGACGCAGCTCTATATGCCGCAACAGTTCGAATCATGGGCAGTGACGCAAAAGACGATCACTGACCTCGATAATCGACTCAATGTATGGGTGAAAAGTCTGCCAGACGAGCTCATCGTCCAGAGTAGGGTCACAACCGCCAGTGACCCTCGCGCAAAGATTGATCTGGCATTGTGTTATTACAGCATCAAGACGATATTACACAGGCCTTGTTTATGCCACATCGTTATATCAGATGAATCAATCTCCTCAAAAGAATTTAATAGCAGCAACGCCAGAAATTGTGTGCGAGCGGCAACGTCGTTGGTTGACATTCTTCCTGAAGACCCAAGTGCTTATGAAACATACCAGCTACTCCCCTGGTGGATCCTGCTTCATTACCTTGGTCAAGCTACCTCGGTCTTCATCCTCGAACTGTCACTGGACATGGAGCACTTTGAGGATTCTGTGGACAAATTGATACCCTATGCCCGTGTTGAGTTCGATGGAAGACCAATAGGCTGCAGCGACATTGTCGTACGTAGGGTCGAGGAATTGCTGATAACGTAGACCGCATGTAGACGTAAGATCACCACAATACACACACTGTAACCTGGGTTTAGTAAGGTTCATCACTCATGTAATGCTGCGACTCACAATCCGCCAACAGCAAAGACGGCGAGCAGGCTATACTTCTGCTTCCGTGGAATGTTCAAGGTCTTCAGCATCGGCAGCGGCAGACTGCAAGTACAAAGTCCGAGACAATGCAAACTGATGCGTGAAAGAACCACCCATATTTCAAATCTGATGCATCTGCCCCCAGGTAGGCTTCTGTTCCAGTAATACCGAACAGGTGTGCAGGAGAAGGTGGACACCATCAACGTGACAAGGCCGTATGCGGCGAAGAAGGCGATGAGAAGCCAAGCCGAAATTCGATACTTCCGTTCCTTGAAAAAGCTCAAAAATTGACAGCTGATGGAGCATCTGGCAAACGCAAGACCTAGGTTGTAAACGATAACACTGGCGTAGAAGGCCTTCCTACATTAGCAAGAACGAGCACAAATGAGTTTGAAGGAGCTGACCTGTAGCATTCGTTCGAGACGCTGCGGGGGAACGTTGGATATGTGCTTCCCCATACCGTTTTGTCGTTCTATCTTGTTAATGGTACTGAATTCTCTGGCTGGAAGCCGAACATACCAACTTCAATGGCGTTTGAAAATCCGAAAGACCACATCATTGCGACACGGATGAGGATATCCTCCTTGAGCACGCGACCCACAAAAAACATACGACTCGTGCAGCGTAATAATACAAACACGAGAGTGACCACATTTCTAAGTAGCGACGGAACTTGTTGTCTCGCGCTGACCCACGATTCACCATGCAGTCTCCACTTTTGAGACACAAACCCTTCCTACTGCCACAGTTCTACGTGGTAAATTATCCTGACTCTCTCGCGCTCTCCCGAAAAGACCGTATTAAGTCGGCCAGAACAGCAAGAATCATGTATATGGTCGATGTAGGGTCAGTCATTGGTCAAGACCGTATAAGACGCTTTTAAGATGTCACAGGTTCTGCAATGGTTTATCTTTGGCCAATGAAGATTAAGCACGGTTTCTCACAGCTCCGATTAGATGAACGAGCGCCCGCGGGACAGGCAACGTACCACTGCTACCCAAGGCCTCAGGTGGGTGCCCGAATGTGACCTACGCTTATATCTATATGGGTTGACGTAGTTAGACCTAACGTTTTCACCTTGTGAGACTTGCTAGGAATGCTGGTCCAATCGCTGCGAGACACGATTTCACTTCCAATCCAACTGTCCCTCAACCCACTGACCCCAACCCAACTGCCCCTCAACCCACTGGACCCCAACCCAACTGCAGTGAGATTCAGATGTACCGACAGCTACCGATTGTCGCCTTGACTGATGTGCATGGTTCCGTTGCAAAGCGCTGACTAGGTGTCCAAGGCAAAACGAGTGGTCTCAAACTGGAAGAAGGTAAGGACATTGTGGTCAAGTCAAGCAGCCTTTTCGGGCCCCCCTTGTTCCCCTGCTTCCGGCTCCCATGTAGAGAAAGATACTTGGCGGCTCATTGCCAGCGAACCGCGTTGCGAAGGCGACACAAACACTACAAGGCCCTTCAAGCCCCCTTCCACAGCCAAGATCCCCCTGTCCCTGAGATTATTAAACCGCCGGTACTACTGTTAGGGTGATGATGCCTTTATCTGCCATGGATGTCACTTAGATACATGGCCACCTCCCTCCTTCGGGGGCTCACACTTCTTCATCGACACCGTTCGAATGTTGCCGAGCCCCTGGCAAACCTCCACTCTGTAGTCAGCCCTCGTTCTGTAGACTCTTGCTGGAGGTCAAGCTCGGCAGTTACACCTTGATTGTCCATATGGAGAGTTTCAACCCAGCACCCTCTTATTGATTCCGGCCAAATCCTGGATATCCCTAACACCGAGCTGAGATTGTGTTCCATCAAGTTATGTGGATCTTTTCGAAAGTGGTTCCTCAATAACTTAAAGTGTATGTGCAGTGCGAAGCCGCAATTGAAATCGCCTATAATATAATCATGATACCTTGCAGCGATGTCACGCCTCTAAGAACAGGAGACATTTTGAAATACCCAGGACAAACAGCACATCCTACATGTTTGCGGCAAATCCAGTCCGATAGCATCGCCATGTCTCAACGCATTGAGCGGTTAGGATTACATCTCTAACTCCTGCTTCAATTATTTTCCACCCCATCGAGCTTGCAGAAACAGACGAGCTTTTGAATAGACTCGCTCCTGCATGTTGCGATGTCCGAAAAGATCTCTTCGCAAGAATGCTCAAACCCACTGAAAACAGTGTGTGCTTCGCGTATGAGCAGGAATGTCAATCATGTCCCCATGTGAGACTTTTCGTGAACTGACGAGCCAGCGTGTAGACCTCCTTTTGGGTCTCTGGGTTGATATATTCGAATTTTCTGTACGTATCTGTTAAGTAACTGTAACAAACTCCCCTTAAGGTCATTTTTACTCACGAGGCTTGACCGACCGGCTTCCTCAAGCGGTAGAATTCGAGAGCGATCTCTTCTGGTTGTGAAGCAGTACAACATCCATTCTTCTCCATGTCGATGATGACATGAAATCGTCTATCGTTCACCCCTCCTAGGTGCACGTAGTGGTCTGTTGTCCAATCGTATTCCTCCTCACTACTGGAGTAACCAGCGAAATGAAACCAATCCTGAGTGATCTTTTGATGGTCATCGTGCCAGTGCTCATGCACACGAATTATGACCCGTTTGGGGTTGTTCTTTGAACCTGATGTCGATGCCATAGAAAGGTTCGCTGGTTGGGAGAAACGCAGAAGGGCGGTGAAGTTCGTCTGTTTATCAATCTTGGCATCATTTCCCCATCTCCTCACGGCCTATTCTGGCTAGGCATTTTTCGGGGACATCTGCACAGGCGTTGCAAGCGGTCGGGGCATAGATTTATGTCAAAGGTCCGTAACGTAGCAACATCCAAACATGAAGCCTTCAATTGGCCGTGGCGTCTTCGCTCTCGCTGTAATCGTCCTCCTGCATTTAGCAGAGACTTGAGATGATTGGCAGAACATCGTGCATAGAGGGAAAAATCGCTCATTTACGCGCCGACCGGACTCAGCCGTAAGGCGGCAAGCTAGATTGTTGATAAGCGTTCGAATAGCCAGGCCGAATGCTCGTCAGTCACAGCTCCTCTTCTGGGCACAAGTCCTTTGCTCTAGGATGCCGCTGTGAACGCAATTACACACTACATTAAGTCGAAGCTTGTTACTGGACTGAGTCAAATTACTCAATTAAAGGTAATCATCGCTATTGCAAATATCCGGGCGTTGACCAAGTGCCTTCAGATGTGCGAGAAGAAGATGAAACACTACCGCGTGTGCGATCACAACTCCCACGAAGGATACAATTACTGCACAGAAGAAAAACGTAGGACTGCAACTCCATGTCGTCCTGCTTCTGGGCATCTACGCGACCTGCCCCAAAGTCTTGACGCCCAGGACAGGAACCTACCAGGACGATGTCCAGTCTGTCTAGGGAAAACTCCACCGAGCTCGGCTGGTTCCATGTAAGGACTGGCACGCACGTTTGAAAGACTCGATTGCTGCTTGGATAGATGCCGATGTCATCGTGATCGCGGACCTGTATGTCTCTAATAGGGTGGCTACTATCCGGCAGTTTCACAATCGAGGACACCTGTTACAGCTTCTGTACGCACCCAGATATTTAAGCTCCTCAAATCTCTTAAACTGGAAATTGGCGGACCTTATTCCTGATGCACCATGACATGATCCACGGTTTCGGAACCTCCACACGCACATTGATCGTCATCCGTGGATTTTTGCCTTGACGAGTGAGTCGCCAGCCAGGAGTGGTCGCGAGCGAGTCCTTCGGTCATACTAGTCGACCACACTGGCCAGAGACACAGCTCGAGCGCCATCATCTCGCTTCGTTGGTAATACGACGACGGCCTGCAGACGTTCAACGTTTTATATTGTGGACAAGCTTACACGGTCCGGGCCCCATGGCGGTGAATGGGACGCTATCCTCCGTACGGGAGTCCATAACATTCACCCCAACCTCAGCAGCTGTCCAAGAATGTGTTGACCCGCTGTTGCCATTGGGGAGTTGCGGTTGCACAAGTTTTGAACTTTGTGATCTGTCACAAATGCACATGGTGTCAAACTTTGTGATCTGCCCACTATGCAAGGAGCTGTGATGGCTGTGGTATCAACCGATCATCAAACAATGGTGACCCTACTAGGCACGACCTATTAGGTTGCCCAACATGGAGGATACATCGTCTCATGCTCCCATCACGCATGAAAGCCCCCCGAGGTTTCTTTATTTGACTCCATCGCCTCCCACAGTTAAAGAAGAAGTATTGTTCTACTATTTGTGTTCCACAACGTATCACCATTTCGGCAACGATGTGGTTTCTCATATCAGTAAGGACGTGTCACTTATGCAGCCACCCGAGACTCTGTGCCACCTATGCAAGGAGATCTGAATTTGAAGTTGACCTGTTCTTTTTGGATGAGGTATGTGGTTAATAAGTACTGCCCATTTTCCAGGTGTCAATGTCTTCCTCACACTCTCGAGATTCTCCTGAGCCTTAAGATGCAGTCTGATCTTGACCTCCAGTCTTCATACTTCGGGTTTGTCGACACCCATGACAATGCCGTGATGCTGATTCAGGCATGCGTCCGAGGCAGTCTGCAAGTGATCAAAAGACGACCTACCGCGTCAGAACGACCTTCTGTCGCGCAGAGTGGACACGTCTTCATTTATGAGGAAAAATCATCCGGCATTCAGCGTTGGACTGATGGGCGGCATTGGAGCCCGAGTCGCGTCTTGGGTGAATTTCTCATCTATGGAGAGCGATCAGCTGCACAAAATCAATCACCCACCACGGAAACTGACCAACTACGTCTGCTGGTGAATGATGGCTCGGACGATGGGCACCGACAGCTTTATGGCCCATTGGTGAAACTTCTGCACTTCGACCCCGAAAGCCTGGTCAAGAAAACCGTCACTGTCAAAAGCAGTGATGACTCTGGCACAGTTTGGCACTTGGTGTCTTACTACCGTCCTGTTGATGTTCTCCAAGGCCGGTTGCAAACCCCAACGATGAACCAGGACTTCATTCTGCAACCGTGGCACCTACCAAGAAATCCAATGCCGTACGGAAACTCGTACCACGGCCACCAAGCTGGGGAAAGCAGCTTATCACCAACGGCACACCTCTGGGCTAGTTCCCATCATGCTCAACCAGACTGGCCCATGTTGAAAGAGTCTGACCGTTACCACATCGATTCCCACCAGGATCCGTTTTCAGAACTTGTGATTTTCGATAACGCTGACATGCCGTGGTCAATCGACAGCCCGTTGGATCCAAGTCTGCTCCGGTATGGCATATGCAGTACTGAAGGCAGTTTTATCTCGTAGCACCTCAATCTAGACCGCTGTGGCCAAGATACGAGATGCTGAAGGCAGAAGAGAGGCATCGACGGCGTTGGAATTGAGGTGAATGGGTGCCGGAGGAGGGCATGGCTTGATGCTGACGGTCCCAGCAAAGGTTCAGATGATGGTCAAGCCAATCAATAATCAGAACCAATTCTTCATTCGAAAAACTGAGCCTTTTTGTGGAATACAAGCTGACAGGGCTTCGGGATCGCATATCTCGGCCAAAGGTTGCAGAAGGGACCTAGGAGTACCGGAAACAGGGGCCCTTAAGGCCTGACAGTTGACGGAGCCAAAAATGGGGAGTCGTCATCAATCCCCCTTTTTTGTGTACCGCTATATTTAGATATGGGCCGGTGCAAAATAGCTCTTGAGTTTCGTGGTTGAGGGCGCTTGGTGTTCACCTCATAGAATTTCTGAGCAATGATGTTGAAAAATTGAAGTCGACCGCCATGAAAGGTCAACCATATTTCGCTACCGGCATATCAGCAAACGCGAATAGCTCGGTAACTTAGCAATGCGACGCCAGTCGAGAAGGATATATTATGCTAGACCAGTGCTTTTCGAATCTCATGGATATGGATGGGAGTGAGGGCTATCGATTAAGTCGCGGCTTGCCTATAATAAGCCGGCAGAGATGATTGGGGTGTCCCGCTCACAGAGAGGAAGCGGCGGGGCTTTCAGCCTGAGTGCAGCAATATTTAAGACCTACGTTATATATTGCCCAGTTCGCTGGCTATTTTTCTTGTAAGTGAAAGTCATCAATCCACGACTGATCACAGTCCGGTCGCGTCATAATATCATGGTCATCAAGTTTCATTAGAGGCAATCCTTGTGCGCGATTCGAATCCTCTAGCAGGTCGAACAGGCTTCCACCGAGAGTCTTGTTCAGCCGCCGCAGAAATCGTCATTTCACAGACTCTAATTCATCCAACAGTGTTCCATGCTCCGACGCTGCCAAGATCTCTTCGAAACTATTCCCGTCAGCCGGTTTGTCCCTGAAAGCCAGACAGAATCAATCACACTCACATTCGGTCATTGGCTACCACCCTGTTCTCGTCAATAAACCAGTCTCGGGTCACCAGCCCTAGAGCTGACCAGCCGAATTTGTCAGCGAATTTGAGCCATCTTTGGCCAGCTTCGATCTGTTTGCTCAACTTTCTTTTGTAACGGTTCCACCGAACGGCATCAGGTTCCTCGGAGTCGATGAGGCCACTCCGGGTCTTGTTCCTTCCCCGAAATCGAGCAGGGAAAGCCACGTCCCAGATATGCTGGATTAGAGACACATAAGCTGCGGCCTTGTATGCCTTGTTTGTCGATGTCCGTAGCGACAGACATGTGCCATCCTTGTCGTGCCCCAAGCGACCTCTGTTTGCGACCGTATCGGCATACAATCTGGCCAGTCGAGCCAACGCGAATCTTCGTAGATAGCTGTTCAAGTTATCCGCTGTGTCGACACTATTGACGGCATTGACACGGGTCACCATCACATCGACATATGGAACGGTGCAGCTCAAGGTGCACCCGCTATATTGAGTTGGATAGTCAAAAGAAATACAGCAGATTCCCGTCGTAAGAGCTCAGTGCTCAAGACACCCGATCTGAAGTGGTAGTTTATAGCTGTAGGCGACGATCCCGGCAGTCCATGAGTAGTCCTGAAGCACTTTAGTCAAGAACCTTCCTTTCAATTTGTGAGCTTAGAGAATCGATGATGCTGCTCGTTTTGCAGTAGGTCTTACGAGACTACACCTACCGCTATCTAGAAGTAAGAATGTGATTAAATAGCTTTATCTTAAGTGTTCCTAAAGAGGCTTTAAACTCATGGCCACTCTACGCTTTAGAAGTATAGGATGATAACCACAGTCTCCTGAGACTTGAGTAGCGCTCACAGCTGGAACAAGTTTCCACGATAGGGTGGTTCTAGATTCGCCTTAAAGCTCATGAATCCCAGATATTGGAACGTTACCCTGCTGACTCCTTAATGGTGATGTAGTCTGATAGTCTACTGCCGGTACTATCTCTTGTCATGGACCACTCTCAAAGGATTGACGACATGTATTTTGGTGGCGGCTCATTGTCATTCTCCGATACCATTTCAAACATATTCTGGTAACATCGCAATGGTCCAATGCTTTCTTCGGAAACTTCGGAGAAGCAGTCCTCTGGTTCACTTAAATCTGTCAAGCTTGAGTGGATGGGAGCAGACACAAATTGGATCGGCACTTCCAAAACGAAGTCGTCAACTTTGACACCAGTGGCTTTCAGCAGGATAATCAGGCTGTACTGCCTCGAGGCAGTGGCGCTGCAGAACGTTGGAGTAACGTCATTGGGCACTGTGATGGTGAAGGAGATTTCGGTCTGCCATTCTGCAGGCAACCACTGGCCTTCCCTTATCGGATGGACCTTGTGCTCACTTGTTGACCCAGGGATATCGCATTTTCCAGTTAAAGGGTCAGCATCAGTCTCCACAAATCGCCACGAAGTCAAGGGTCGACTTGTTTGCTCCAGCTTTAGAATCTGGTCGTGGAGTCGATGGGGGCCATTCACCGTCAAAAGACCTTGTACAGGCAGTTTCGGGAACGGTTGAGTAGAATAAAACGTTTTTGCTCGCAATCCTGGTATGATTCTGCAACCAATTCTTTGCAGAAGCATGACAAACTCCCGAGTATCGACATTGTCGATTGACGCTGTAACACTGACCCGAATTACAATTTCCGTCCTTTCAGACTTATTGCCATCGCCCATGAGTATAGGAGCAGGTTCAGCCGCGGTAAGACTCATCGTATATTTTTGGAAGCTAAAGATTGATGGTCGAAGTGGATGGCTTTGCTTGGTCACAAAGTCATTGAAAAAGTCGTTAGTATCGCATGGAGGAAACACCTCAGGAGCGGCGCGAATAGGAATCTCCAATTGGTGATATAATTTGACCATCCCGTCCATCGTGTGCAAGTTAGTGAGAGCCGCTACAACTCTAAGATTGTACTCGATCAGCGGTTGAGCGTAGGTAGTAGCGTCCGTATCGTCCGTCAAGATAGGTCCATGACAAAAGGTTGGGGGAAGGACAAGGCACTGTCCCGGAGCATTGCCGCTCTTGGGTGTCGCCCATCGAGAAATAATGAAGCGAAACTGAGTGGAGTAGAAATAAATTCTGGACTCTGCATCGTTTGATATTTCAAAATTCTCCAGGTCGAGTGATTGGGCTAGAAACTGGACGAGGATCATTAGATAATCCTATTTTTGCTGGCTCATCACCCACTTTGTAACTGGACTTTAAGGTTATGGTGCTTCTTTGATCGTCCTTGTTGACGCTTTGAGTGTGAACCCTGGATTCCCCTAGAATAATTCGATGTATTAGACATTTGACCTTCGAGGTAGCCCGGGAGGCGTCCTACCTTCAAAGCTAATTTGAACCTGCTGTATAGTGAGGAGCACCCTGCTTGTAATCTTCACGACGCCGCTGATCTCCTGTAGTGGGCTCCAGACGTCTACATTTGATGTCTTTTCAAGGCGACCGGCGACCATAGAGAGCGGACTCTTCAGTGTGATAGAGATGTGAGGCTGTGGATCCGGTTCCTGCGACATAGGTAAAGCCGGTATGGTAATGGCGCATGGGGAGAGAGAATGATTAATAAAGAGAACAGCCAGGGTTTTATTTCACAGGAGCGCCTTTTCCTTAGGGAAGGGATGATCGCAAAGTCTGTCCGAGTGTGCAATATTATTCTGCTGCACCATTAGCTGATCTCGCCAGTATCTAGCTGATCTTGTGGTTCACGTGCCAGCCGTCGTCATGAACGTCGCCAATTCGCAGACGGAGATCACTCTGACCATAGTATTGCCGAAGCCAGCTTTGATATGAAGAAACATTAAATTCTTACCGAATTAACGCACAAGATGTGGAGGAAAATCTGTATCAGGGTCTTGTAGATACTGCAGTCGAATGAAAACATTTCCATGACAGCAAATAGTAGCTGCTTACTGACAAAGCGCCGCAGGGCCAGGCATAGAAAACTAATTAGGATCATCTCGAAGGGCGGCTTGATTAGCTGAGCTAGGTGCGATATGGTTCGCTTTGTCACTGCCTAACGATGATTGGCCACAGCTCGGCAAGATGTGGTATCTTCCTCTCCTTATGATTCTTCTAGCCCCTTAACTTCGTACCAGCAAATACGGCACAAATCAACTAATTGGAGTGGCAAGCCCTTAGTAACCTGTTTGTACGGTAATTGTTGTATTCATGTGCACACAGCTTTGACCCCCTGCCCTAAAGCCACTTCAGAAATGTTGGCCACTCAGCCAGCCGGTCGTAGTCGCTGAGACAGTGCACCGGGAAGGATGTTCTAACATTGTAATCTTAGCGTAGCCGGTCCCTGCGGTGCATATGATGTAGATAGTGTCCGTGAATGGAGGCAACAAAAGAGTCAATACTTTAACCAGAGGCTTTCAGTCCGAATGGGGCTGGAGGCAGCTGATGGATGCGAACCCATGCGCGCTGGACGGGATTCGCCGAAGCGAGAAAGGCAATTTGCCAAAGGGCCCTGCCTTGGTTTGCTATGTGGTGTGTCAGTGCCTCCATCTAATTGGTACTGACTGCGTAAATTGTGAACCCCCCAATGCCGAAGTCCAGCAAAAGTCGACCCCAGGACATGTATCATGCGAAACTGTGCGGGATCCGCTTCACGGCTTCGCTTCGTGTAAGCGAGCTATGAGAAACCTGACAGAGGCTATTGGCAAACGATTTTCGTAGCAAACCAAGGGATACGCCTTTTGTCTGAGAGAAAAGGAAGCGTATTCGCAAGCAATCAGGTGCCAGTGGTGACAAAACTCAGGTTTATCTTAACCGCGCCTAGAACACACCCCGTAATAATGTGGCTGCCGCTAACTTCTACACTCTAAAGTACGTCATGAAGAGCAAGTTATCTCCTCACAAAATACCTCAGCAATTATCTGGAACCGACTGTACCTGATGTTCGACAGGCTTATCGTTATAGGATAAGGGGTGCTAAAGGTGCACTATTCATGAGCTCTAGATATTTCTTCAACAGCCGATTTCGTGGAACTTCGGCTTCAAAGTCTCATATTTTTGCGCTAAATCCACTCACACTTCGGTCCTTTGTCATTGCTCGCTATTGACTGGCTTCATCCATGACCACTTGGAAGAAGCTCCACCAAGGCTATGCGCCAAGAATATTAGCGGGAGCTTCTATGTGCTTGTTGAATGAGCTGGCTGGGGATATACAGGAGACAGCTAATCGTCAAACAGAACTATCCCATCAGTAGCGAGATGTGACCTGGCTAGTATCGTGCTTGCCAATATACGTGGACTTGGACACGGTTATTGCTACTTTGACATATGTAAGACCCGTGGAGTACTCAGTAGATGGGAATTGTTTTGAGGATCACACCAGTCGTTGACGGCCACCGGAGTAGTCAAGGGGAGGTTTACAGTGCATGGGTAGTATTCTGTTCTAGTGTAAAGAGCCATTTAGCTTCCATGGAATTCAGTTAACATTTCTCTGCGCCGCCACCAGAAAGGGCGATAACTATCACTGGAAACGATTGGCTTTGACTGATCGCCTATACCACACACGTATGGATCTTCGTGGTTGCATCCACGTGCGCACATCATTGGTATGGACTTAATGAGGAAATCAGCAAATTTTTATCGTTGCGGCGGTTACTGTCTTATATATGTTAAGAGTCCCTTGTTCTTGACCCTCAACCGCGTTTTTCCTAGAGAATTCTTTATCTTCCAGTGAAGTTGAAACAAGATTTTCACAATGGATGTGAATGCCCTCCATACCAGGGAAGAGGTCTTTAAGAATGCCGCCCCCAGTCTTCATACTTCCAGATTGAGTGTACACGACCAAAGACGTAAGTCTTTGGCGGAGGTCGACAGCGCCCCCGTGGGTCTGTCACATTTGCGGGTTGTTCTTGTCGCTGGCACTGGCTTCTTTACAGATGCCTACGACCTTTTCAGCGCAAACTTCATCACAGCACTCATCGGGCTGGTATACTTTCCGGGACACAAGATTCCTACATCTGCCGATACCGCCATCAAGCTTTCGACGACGGCGGGTGCTGTCGTTGGCCAAGTCTTCTTTGGATGGCTTGCAGATAAAGTGGGAAGAAAGAAAATGTATGGCCTCGAATTGATCATAATGTTGGTCGGCACATTCGGTCAGACAATATCAGGTCGCGGCCCTGCGGTTTCCTTCTTAGGACCCTTGATATTCTGGAGGGTTGTGATGGGTGTTGGTGTTGGGGGAGACTATCCTCTTTCTTCGGTCATCACTTCGGAATTCGCAACCGTAAAATGGCGCGGGGCGTTGATGAACGCCGTATTTGCAATGTAAGAACTCGAAAAATTGCAGTCGGAGATAGCTTGCTGATACAAAGCTGCAGGCAAGGTTTTGGAAATCTGGCAGCGGCGCTGGTTTCTTTTATTTGCGTTGTCGCTTCGAGGGACGCCTTGTTACCGGCTGCCACAGCCGCGCAGTGCGACGAGCGGTGCCAGCTCGCTGCTGACAAGATGTGGCGCAGTATTGTAGCATTCGGCACAGTCCCAGCTCTTTTGGCCGTGTACTTCCGCTTGACAATCCCAGAAACACCACGGTATACTGCGGACATCACCATGGACGTGGAGAAAGCCCGGGCAGATGCTGAGGCATACCTCCGCGGTAAGCGACAGGGCAAGACGGAGGAAGGCCATACTTATGCCGCCGAGAGCCGTAGGAAAAATGCTACGCCAAAGGCCACTTGGTCTGAATTCTTTGCCCACTTTCGGCAATGGCGCCATGGAAAGATCTTGCTTGGAACAGCGGGCTCATGGTTCTTCATCGACGTCGCCTTCTGGGGCTTAGGCCTGAACAATTCTGCTATCCTAGGCGCAATAGGATATGCCAGCTCCACAAACGTCTACGACAACTTGTACAACACGGCTGTTGGCAATTTGATTCTTGCTATCGCTGGTAACATACCGGGATACTGGGTTTCAGTTGCGCTCATCGACACTATTGGCCGCAAACCTATTCAGATGGCCAGCTTCATTATTCTCACAATCTTGTTCTGCATCATCGGATTTGCTTACCATTCATTGTCCGCACATGCTCTCCTGGCCTTGTACGTTCTCTGCCAATTCTTTTCCAACTTCGGTGCGAACTCCACAACATTTATTGGTAAGTAGTAGAGAAAGGTCCTACAGTTCAGAGCTGACAGGTTTTAGTCCCTGGCGAAGTGTATCCGACACGTTTCCGCTCAACAGCGCACGGTATTTCAGCTGCTGCCGGAAAGATTGGCGCTGTTCTTGCTCAAGCACTGATTGGACCGTTAAGGAACAAGACTGGAACCAACAAGTGGTTGAATCACGTCATGGAAATTTTCGCGCTTTTCATGCTCTGTGGAATCTTCACAACGCTGCTCATTCCAGAGACCAAACGCCGAACCTTAGAGGAACTGGCGGAGACGTATCACGGAGATACTGAAAGCTTGACGGTGTCGTCGCAAATCGAGCAAGAAGTCACCACAAAGGACAAATGAGAATCTAAGAAGATGCCGTTATAGGAAATCCGAGGAAGCCGAACTCCTGTACCAGTGAAGATACGTGTGGTGCTCTACAGAAGCCACGTTGTACGAGGGCTAGCTGACATGCTTCGCAGGGACAGCGGGTCTGCCGTCACAGACGCATGCTATGTACCCATTTCGTTTTCATGTTTGAAACGGCACGGAGCTCTTGTTTAGTCAGATTTATTGAATAGATCCTTTGTACCTAGTTACAGAAAGGCAATGATAGCATTAAGACAATCGGCAAACACCGCACATTAAAATACCAATTGTGAAGTTCTTAGACTAATACTGGCCGTAATTCCCACGTCGCAGGCAGCTCTTTGATATCCACACCGGAATCGGAATTTCCAAGCGTCTGATCCTGAAGTATCGTACCTTGCGACGGGCTTGCATGAAGGTGCTCCGAAGGCAAAAGTTGGCTGTGTCATCGAGCTTCGCATCGGCCAGAACAATCATGATCGGAAATTGGATGATGTATTACGAACTGGCCTGAAGGGTGACCAGCCCTTCCGTCACAACAATCGTCTCAGTCAGTGAAGCTTTTCCTAGCCTGCCCTCGAGACGTCGAGCCTTTGTCATGACTGAATTGTGATTAGCCAAACCTGCATAGACGGCTAAGCAGGGTCCACCCACGTTTCAAGAAATTACTTTTTCGTCTTCACCGGCGAAGCATGCGAAGATTAGATATAGGTTTTGTTTGGTAAAGTGGTCCTTGATAACGCATCATCCAAGTCCATGGTTGTTCTGGCAATCGATTCTCGAATGTTGTTCTAATGCTTGCGCGAATCAGCAGAAGCCGTGTAACCGGTACGACGTCACCCTCGCTCATAGCTCAGCGTGTTCAACTACCAGCTATAACAGTCAACATTGATAAATATCTGCGCTTCAACGCATCTTCAGCACGAGCTCAAAATATGACGGCTAACAAGGAATGGCACGAAGCCTTCCCTAATCCTCGCAACCAATCACCCGATGCTATCACTCGGGAAGATTTGCTCGAGCGCTTACAGAAAGACCAA